CTGGACTGTCCAACTCAACCAAAAATGCCCCCATTAAAGCCCTGGAGACGATTTAAGAGGGCTCCAAGACGGCCAAGAAGCCCCCGACACGCCAAGAAAACATTCAACTGGGCCCCAAGGGAGACCCAAGAGAGGCCCAGTAGGGCTCAAGATACCCGAAGAGGCCCCAAGAAGCCCCCAAGAAAGCCCCCAACAACAAAACTTTGAACATTGGGAAAATCAACTGGAGGCCCTAAGCCTCCAAGGGGCACCCAAAAGCCCCGCAACACACGCGGAGGAGCAGGAGGACCAATCAGCAACAACGACACGCGGGCAACACGACGGGAAATGTCAAAGCACACCCGCCAAATCGGAAGCCGCGCATGTCCTCATCTGGGGGTCGGCGGAATGATGGTGTCAGCCTCTGTGATATTTGAACGAGGGCGGCGACAGACCGCGCATGCGCTTGGAGGTCAAAAAAAGGAGTGTGGTACAAAAGGATGCGGCACCAATGGTGGAAATGGCGACGTTGTCTACAATAGCCACGAATCCGTTGCATTACGATTTCAACAACGCTGGTTTTGCGTCGACCGCGTCAGACAAAACTGAAATATTCAATTCCAACTTCCCCAGACGGAACGGCGACAGACAGACCCATTCCAATACGCTCTATCGGAAGGCGCGCGATGCCGGAGATTCCGGAACTTCTGGAACTCATTTCTGTGATTCTGGACAGTCTGGAACGTCGTTTCAGAAATTCTGGAGCAATGGCTTGCATTTGCCGGAACTACATTTTGGGCGATACGGAAATTATGGAATCACGATTTTCGTGATTCGTAATTCCCGAAATTGCGCGCTCGGTGACCCGGCGTCCTGGAACAATTTTTACGCTGCCGACGACATAGGACTGCGGGCGCTCGGGAAAGTTGGAACCCGGAATTCCGGCGTTGCGCGAGGCGGTCGGCGCAAAGCCAACACAGTTGAAGTCAGGATGCAATGCACTTGCGGCGATCATAAACAGCATCGCCCCTTTCAGCATTGGCACCACACCTCTTCACTCCACGCCACGCGCACCCAAGCCACACTCCTGACCACACACCTGAACACCCTGGCGCGCGCGCGCGATGACACTCGAGCGCCCTCGGCGCAGAATCAAACCCGCCGTGTCCTGCCGAGCCGGAGTCTCCACGCACGCACGTCGCGAGGGCGCCGGGCAGCACGCCCACCAGAGACAGCTTGACCACCAACATCGCGAACGCTGCCTTCTCCCCCACGCGACCTTGCAAGGCGTCGGGCGGTCTCCTCCAAGCGCCTCCTGCGCGGCAGCGCGGGGCTGGAGCGCACCGCCCGCCGCGGCCCCCCGCCCTGCGGCCACCGGCCCAGTCTCGGCCGCGCGCGCCAGGCCGCGCGCGCAGGGCGTCGGCGAGCACGGCGCGGCGACATGCCGCGTCGCGGGGTTGGAGGCGGCGCGCCGCCGCCACCTCCGGGACGTCGGCTCAGCCCTTGGGAAGTTGGAGCTCCGCGAAGCCTCTCCGCTGCAACGTCGAGCGCGCGGGCCCGCAGGGCCCCCGGGAGACTCCGCGGCCGAGGCGGTTGCAGCGCGTTCGAGCGAGGGAGCAGACGGCGCGGTAACGCGGCCTCGCCACCCCTGCCTACAACAAGCGAAAGGAATATAACTCTCCGCGAACACGGGCCCAGCGCAAGCCCTGCCAGGACCCGACGCCGGCACGATCGACCATGCGATGCACCATCTCGCCCTGCCACCGCTCGCCTTTCTTGCACCACCGAGAGGCCCCATCACCGCGATGACGCCCACGCGCCCCTCGTCGCCTCCGCGGGCCACCCTGCGCCTCGCCAGCGGCGAGCCCGCCTCGGCAACCAGGGCGCGGGGCTCGCCGGCCCCCCGGCCCGCAATTGCGCCGCCCTCAGAAAGACCCCCATCTCGCGTCACCCATCACTTGAGCGCGCCAGCAGGAGGCCAGCTTGGCCACGATACTACCTTGGGAATGCGCGGTTATTTTTCTCGGTCTCGGCCTCCAGCAAGCCGACTGCGCCCCGAGGCTATCCAGGGAACGTATGAGAGCCCTGGAAGACCTGGGCGGCAGCCGCCACCTTTTGCTGAAGACGTGCTCGGAATCCATGGACTCAGGACGCCGCGCCTGCCAGGTGCGAACACCCCCCACGACAGAGCTGGAGGCTCTCTCGTGGAGGAGCAGACTGGAGCCTGCCCAAGCTATTTTTCTGGCGCAGGCTATTGAGCGCACCCAGGCCGAAGCAGCGTTTGCCCTGGGGGACCTGTCCGATCCCGAGTCTGCGAAGGCCTCAGGTGGCCATGGCCCTGGGGCCCGTCCGTCATTCCTGGATTTCTGCGGGCCCCGAGGACCTAGAGCTTCTGAGCTAGGCGGGACAGGCAGCGGTGATGCGCCAGCCCAAGCCTCGCAGTTTTTCCCTTTCCACCCCCAGAACCCTGCCCTGGAGATTCCCAAGTGGAACTCATAGTTCAGACTGCTAACGTCACTTCATGGCACTCGGACTCGGGTGCAGGCCCCAAGGCTTGGCTGCCAAAATGCGAAGCACACATCCTTCTCATCCAGGGGCACCACCTGTTGAAGCCTGATCTGGAAGAAGCTATAGGCCGGGCCCATCGGCATGGGTGGAAAGCTGTTCTTGGGCCCGCAACTCCTGGAATCGGTCCTGGTACGTCTTCTGGCGTCGGGACCCTGGTCCGAAACTCTCTCGGCTGTCATGCTCCTCCAGGAGGGCACATCATTGACCCGCACCGTTCTACTGGCGCTATTGTGCATGCTCCAGGTGGGGACCCTGTGTTTGCGCGCAGTACCCACCTACGCACGCGCGAAGGGCTCTCAGAGGCCAGCGTGGAGCTCCCTGCCTTCATCGGTGCGGTTGTGGAGCAGGTTGCTCCAACCACTATTATTGGTGCTGCCTTTGATATGAACCTTCACGCGCTTGCTGCATCAGGTATTGTTAATCGTTTGCGCACGGGTCGTCGTTCCCAGCAGCGCGATCAGCGCGCGCGGTACCAGCATGCTCGATTACTTTGTCGTCTCCTCGGGGCTCGCTAAAGTCATCTCCCAGGGCGAAGCGATTCATGCATCGAACATCGTCACCCACCTACCACCTACCAGCGCAGCACAGGTTTCACGCAGGCATTGGGCGTCTCCATGGCCTTGTTATTCGCAAGCCCCCACCACTGCCGACGGAGATGCCGATCGGCCCCGTGCCGCCACCGCCTGTGTGGGCAGCGGTGCAAGCTGCAGCTGTCCGCGTCCTTGAAGCTTGTCGAAGCGGCGACGCTCATGCTGCACAGCGCACGCTCGACGACCGCCATAAGCACTGGGCCGACTTGGCCGAGAAGGAGCTAGCAGGGACTCGTGAAACCACCCTCCCGCGCTGGGGAAGCAGTGGGAGAGTGCCGCAGCAGAGGTGGGCTAATATCCTGGACCCAGATAGGCAGGCCCCCCACAGACAACCCCAGCTCGGCCCCCTCAAATGGTCCGTAGGCAAATTCAAGCCCCCCCGTGAGCTCGACGCGACTGGCACGGGGAACGCCCAGGCGCAGGAGGTGCGGAGGCTTCTTTTGTCCCCACCTACCTTTTCTGAAGCAAGGGCTGGATTCCCACGCTGAATGTCTTTTGAGAGCGCAGCAGTATTTAGGCCAGCATGATTTGCACGATCGTAAGGCTGGGAAGGCATACTCACCGACTTGGACGAGCATCTGGCGACCTTCGCCGTCAAGGCCAAGCCGCAAGCACTTGCCGAGTGGAGGGAATGGCTGCTCCAATCCATCGATCAGGGGGCGCGCGGGGCTCTCCGGCCTGTGCGAGGCAGTCAGCCATGGACCCCCACCACTACTCTGAGTCGGGATGGAGCCGTCATACCTGACCCCCGGGCCATGCTTGCGGCAGAGACTAGTACTTTCAGTAAGTTGTGGGAAGCCTCGAACACTCCGCCCCGATGGAGCCCCCAGTTTCAGTTTGTGGACCCCCTCCCCAGGCTCACTGCCGATGAGCTGCGCTCTGCTTCCAGGGAGGTACTCGTCTAGGTCTGCCACGGCAGTTGATGGCTCTCACATGAAGCATTATGCCTCTCTGTCGGACGGGGCCCGTGATGTCCCGGGGAGGACATGTTTTCGGCCATGGAGGCTTCTGGGCTTCACCCTGGGCAGACTTCCCTGGCGGTACCTCCCCTGATCAACAAACCCTCCAGCGGCTTCAGGCCTGCCTATCGGCCTGTTCTGCAGTCCCTATCGCCTCTGGGGCGATGCCGAAGGAGGTACGCCGTCCAATGGGGACGAGATTTCCAACGGAGTTATTTCGCGGGTTCCCAGTTTTCGTCTGCCGTCGATGTGGCTTGGAGGAAATCTTCACGCGCTGAAGGAGCTGCGCCCAAGAAAGAAGCCAGTTGTACCCTGTTTTTGGACCTTTTACACATGTTTTGAGCTTGTCAATCTCTCGACGCTCCTTCAGCGCTGCCACAAGTTTCATGTCCCCGCGCAGATGGCTAGGCCGGCAGCACAAGGGCATCGGCACGGCGGGTATATTTCGCTCTCAGGAACGGTGGTCGGAGCCTTTTTCGTCAACAACGGCGTCGTCGCTGGCTGTGGCTTCGCGACCGCCAAGGTGCGCTACGCCGCTGTGCCAGCGCTTGATGCCCTGCGGCTCCCGCCAGGCATCATGCTCGACGCTTACATCGATGACTACGGTCTCAGCTGCGTCGGGACATGCGCCGACATAGTCAGCCATCTCCCCGAGGCAGCAGCGAATCTCAGGGCCACCATCGAGGATGACACGGGCGGTGTGATCTCGGTTGATAAAGCTGCCCTCGTCGCCTCGTCGGACGCGCTGGCCAATCTGGACAGAGATCGCTTGGGGGGCCTCACTGGGCCCGTGGTTCCCTCTGCCGCGAACCTCGGGGCTGATTTTGCCCCCGGTTTCCCCGCCGCGCCCCTGGTCGCGGCCGAAAGTTTGGTGACCGCAAGCGCGCGTTTAACAAAAAGCTGCAAAGGCTCAAAAGGGCCTAGAGGCCACTCGGGAGGCATGCGCCCAAAGTCTTCACCGCTGCCCCCCCCCCCCCCTCCCCCCCCAGTCTCACCCCTGGAGCTCTCCAACTACGAGTGGGAGGCTTCAGGTCGCTGCTGCAGCACGACGGACCCCTTCTGCCAAGATGAGGTCGAGGACCTCTCTGCTCATACTCTCTCGGGACCCGCCAGGCACCCTGCCGCGGCGCCCATTGTGCGCCGCGCCAAGGAAGTCCGGGCAAACCAAACCAAGCGGCCCCCTTTTCTACTCCCTGGGGCGAGTTGCGGCAGAAGCGGCCCTCGGTGCCCCTTTCCCCTGGGCCCAAAATCTGGCGGGGGGCGAAGGGCCCCTCGGGGGCCATGAGGCTGGCCATCGGACGCCCCTCGCGGGCCACGCCAAAGAACTGCACCCTTCTGGACGATTTTGGAACTGAAGTACCGCTCGCGGCCACCACCACCACCCCCCGCCCTGCTGAAGAAGACGTTGAAGGCGGCTGTTCAGAGGGCCCACGAGCGCGCTAGCGGCGCTGCCCTGCCCCCTCACAGGCTCGGGGCGAGAGAATGCGATAATGCTGTCACAGCCACACTGCGCCCCAGGACAGGCACATCTTCACAGCGAGGATTTGCCAAGGCCGTCGCGCGCGACGCTATTTGGACCAGAACCGGGGCTGCCGAGGAAGGGCGCGACGCCGACACGAGTTGCGGGCCATGCCAGGTCAGCGCAGACACTGCGCTGCACCGCCTGCGGTTCTGTCCCGCGCGTCACGGCCAGAGCGAAGAGGTTCTCAGGACTTCCAAAGAGGAAACCCAACGCCCTCCCCCTAACTTGTCGACTGACACCAACGAGGAGGATGTCCTACTTTATATCAGGGGCCTGCTTCGGCACCCAGGAGATGCGTTCCGTTCCTCCCCGCGACGACGTTGAAGACACTGGCCTCGAGGTTATACGGGCCAGAGATCGCGCCTGCAAACCCCTGGACATATCTGGACACATGTTTGTGGATGGGTCGCGCGCCACCCATACTGCAAAAGAACCCCCAGCGCTGGGTGGGGGGATGGCGGTCGCAGGAGATGATGGCGTCGAAGTTTGCCGTATCAGTCCCCCCCCTTTGGGCCCCCAACCTCCAAGCGGCCCAGGGCGAGGACTTCGGAGCCCATGCTGTCACTCTATGCATGCCATGCCTGGCAGATCGATGTATTCCGACTGCAAGAATGCGGTCGCCCAGGCTAACGAGCCCCCCATGCGTTCCCTGTCCTACCAGCGGGTGCATTCGGGATTTCTACGCCCACCCATCGGAAGCTCGCCGACGGGGTTTTCAAAGTGAAAGCCCACGCCGAAGAGTCTCAGGATCTCACCGAGCTGGAGCGTTTTTGGAAGCTGGGGAATGACCTAGCCGACCCTGTTGCCAAAAAATCGCTGGCCAGAAACCCGCAGCCCGACCCTGCTGACGTAGAGTGGCTAGAAAGGTGCAAAAGTGTTGCCATGTGTGTCGTGCGTCTGGCGGGCTGAACTCATGCCTGAGTGGCCGAGGCTCAACTTGAGGGATGTCAAGCTTGTTCGTAAGCCCCCTCGGCCCAAAGTCCCGCTTCCTCTTCACCAGTGGACGCGTGTCTCCACCTGTTGGCAATGTATTGAATGCCTGCGTGTTGCTAAAGGAGTGCCGCGTCTTGGGCCCGACGGGAAGTTGCTTGGAGGTCTGGACCCGCCTGCCCCTGGTGCGTGCCCCAGAGAGCCCAAGCTTGATGCTGCCGTCCTGGCGGGCTTGAGGCACAATTGGATTGCGTTGCTTTGTTCGGATTGTGCTGCCCTTACCTCATGTTGCAAAGCCTGCTCTTTCATGGTCAGCCACGCAAGTTTCTTTTGTAGTATGACGGCGCGCCTCAGAGTGCAGGCGCCAACGGTGCCTGGAAAGCTGTTGGGGAAGGCAGGCACCCCAAACGCTCAGGAGTTGCTGTGGAAGTGGGGTCCTGGTACGGTCCAGACGATGGCCTGCCTGCGGACCTTCCCCGTCGCCTGACTGCATACGAAAAGGAGCGCACTGCCAAGGTTACGCGGCGCTTGTTGCGTGCTGCAGGTGGGCAGCCTGGCTCCCCTGATAGAGAGGAGCCAGAGAGCGGGCCCCCTGTGAGCAAGGGCCAGGGCCAGCAGCCTGATCGAGCCGTCGACCCGTCGTACGTGTCGTCGTCTTCCACTAACGCTGCTGCTGAGCCCTGGCCCCATCCTCTGGACCATTTTGGCACAGAAGAGGAAGCTGCCCAGCTACTTATTGGCACGCCCAAGACGGGCGAGCCGCCATGGCCCCCGCACTCACACGCCAGGCCGGGGTCGGCTGGGATTGTCCGCGACAGGGAAGCACTCACCCTCCAAGAGGACGAGACACCCCGAGCTGCGACACCCGTGCCGCCGTCTGATGACTCAGACTAACATCAGAGATGCAGTCCCTGCCCTGGCTTGCACTGCGTCTCTTGCCCTGAACTCACTTCCATTCTGGTCTTGGGCTTAGGAGGGCGGGCGGTCAGCCACAGGGGATCCTCCCCTTGGGGAAATCGCCCCGTGGCTTTAGCGCCTGCCCTCCTCCTTGATCTGTCACTTCTCGCTGGACTGCCTTCCTCCAGTCCAGTGAGCAGGAGGCGACGCCCGTCCGCGGCCGTCGCCTGCATGTGCCACGGTTGATATCAAACAAATCCGACTCCTCCTCTGTGTCCTTCTCTTCCTCCCTCTCCTGATCCTCCATCTCATCCTCCCCCAAGTGTTCCCCGAAGAGTTTCCAGAGCGGCTGGGGGAACACGTAGTCCGATAGCTTGGCCAAGCTGGACCCAACGGTTAACCACAGAGGCGCTTCCTTAAAGGCAAGGGGCGGCAGTGATTCGCCGTAAGCGTCTTCGATAAGGGAAGCTAGATCAGAGAGAAACAGAGAGGACAGAGAGAGAGATGGGGGCAAAAACCAGAGCCAGAACCTGAGCTGAAGCTAAAGCCGAAGATGCATCTCGAGCCAGAGCTGGAAACAGACACAAAGACCGACGGGCAGAGAGAGGGGAGAGGCATAGATGTCTCGCTCACACACGCGCATGCGACGCGCTCCGAATCACGAAGGGAGAAGCGTCGTAGGAGTGCAGTCCTCTTGCAGAAGCTTTCTGACATAGTCAACATCGTTGAGCCGTGCGACGGCCTCAATCTTCAAGTGGTACTGTGGCAAAACGACTTCGACCGGGTTCTCCCACATGGTGTCCTGCTGTCTGCTTGACCGCAGAACAAAGTATGAAGTCAAAACCTGCCGACCCGACCAGAATCCGACTCTGCGCGAAATGTGGTAGGCGTGACCCCCAACAGTACTCGAGGGTTTGCCTCCCTCTACGCTACAAGAGACCATGATTACTGTCCCATGTGACCACAACCCGATGGTTATACACCATCGAAAGCTCAAGTGGCACCTGCGGGACGATCTGTGGTACCCCTTTCGCGCTTCTCTGAACCCTCGCCATGCATCCCCAAGCGCAATGGCTAACAAACATAGCAGCTCAACGGAACAAGAACGGAAACACACATACCCTTACTGGGAAAACATGACCGTCGTAGCCCCAGCGGGCGCCCACCGAACTCTGGCCAGTGAACCCCTCCTTTGGCGGCACGCACAAGGAGGTGTCGCGAGGGGGGGCGCCTCAAAGAAGGCGTGTGGCTTCTCGGAAGGCAATCAAGGGCCAGGAGGTTTCTGAGAAGTCTTCCTGAAAGAGGGATGGGTGGTGCTAGAAGTCCCACACAGAATGCGTGCTGGCACGGTGGCGGATGACGGGGAGCGCCTCCGGCGTGCACCGTTGGTTCTGGGCTATAATAACGTGTTCTCTAACTAAAAATTGCCGACCGCACCAAGCAACTCGCTGGCGGATGACAGAGAACGTCTTCGAGAGACTCGAAGCGAGAGCTGGACGTTCTGGCTGAATCCTCGAACATCTTATTAAGATCTCTTACTCTATGGGGTGGCGGATCGCACGGGGACTGTCGCTTTCGGATGACAGGAAGCGCTTGCGAGGAACTCGAAGCGAGAGATGGAAGTTCTGGCTAAATTGTATCACATATTAACACTATGTGCGTATAGATGTATTACTGTCTGGGGCGGCGGATCGCAAAACCATTTCGTTGGCGGATGACGAAAAGCGCCTTCGAGGAACTCGAAGCGACTGCTGGACGTTCTGGCTGAAAGCCACTCATAACTTGTTAATATATATATATATATGTATATATGTATATATATATGTATATATATATATAGATTACTATATGGGCTGATGATCGTTAGCGAGTTGCCAACAGTGAACGTTTTGCTAGGCACGTCCTCACATAAATGAGCTGTTTACGGCATCTCCTTCTACAAAATCAAGTGTTCCGCTCGGGACATCCTCCAACAATGAAAATCGCGAACTTTCATGGTTTCAGAAATGAGCGTTTCGCTAGAGACATGCTCAAAAGTAAGATTCCGACTGAAATTTGTTACTACCTCTTACGTTAAACACGACGCTCTCGCTCGAGACGTCCTCCAAAAACAGGAAGGAACATGGCAGACCAGCATAGCTGTATCTGCGACGTTGTCTTTGAAGTGACCATTTCGCCAGGGACATCCTCACAAAAATTGCATTGTTTCAACATCGCATTGTTACCGAAGTGTTTCAAGACGAAGAAAGAGGAGCCCAACAAGACCCCCAGATGGCTCCAAGAGCACCCTGAAAACTGCCGAAAATGACGAGCTCGCTAGGGACATCCTCAAACAAATGACCAATATGATGGCATCGTTTTGAAACATACGATTCCAACATCGACTTGAAATCGCTATCGCAAAGGCGTCAAGATGGCCCAAAACAGCCTTCAAAAAAGTGCGATTTCGCAAGTAACATCCTCAAAAAAACGCATGTGTCTAAAATCGCAGTGTAATCATGTGTGAGGGCATCAAGACGGCCCCAAAGAGCCCAAAACGAGCACCAATATACCCCAAGAACGCCCTCAAGACGACTTAAAATGACGATCTCGCTAGGGCCATCCTCACCAAACTAATGTACCAGCATCGACTTTTGCAAGAACACTCGTCTCGCCTGAGACATCCTCCGAACATTGAAAGTTGCGACTTCAGCAAATCCGCCGACCCCTTGTGGGTCTCTAGGCGTGTAAAATAGTTCCCCCCCTAACCCCCCCCCCCGGGAACCCCAACCGGAGATTTGACCCCCCCCCCGGGCCGACCACGAGCGCGCCACGGGGCTTTTCTGGGCCCAAGAGGGCCTAAAGACGGGCCAAGAAGACCCCAAGAGGCCTCCAAGACGGCCCACCAGGGCCCCGAGACAGCAAACGAGCGCTCCAGGACGTCCAAGATAGCCCCAAGATGGGCCAAGACGTCTCCCAGACGGCCCAAGAGCTCCCAAAGAAGCCTCCCAACAGGGCTTCAAGAGGCGAAAACTGATGATGTTCCATTGTGTTTTTCTGTGTTTTTTGCTTTTTCGCCTTTTCGGCTTCCCGACGCCCCAAGACGGCCCAAGAGGCCCCGAAGACAGCCCCAAGACAGCACAAGAGGCCTTCAAGACGGTCCCAAGACGGCCCAAGAGGGCCCCAAGACCGCCCAAGAGCTCCCCAAGACGGCCCAAGAGGGCTCCAAGACGGCACCAAGAGGGGCCCAAGAGGGCAACCAAAATTTCAAAAATCTAGCTCTCCGCCCCCAGGAGCCCCAGGGGGCCTCAAGAGTGCCCCAAGAGGCCGCCAGAGGCTCCCAAGAGGCCCCCAAGACGCCCCAAGGAACCCCCAAGAAGCCCCCCAGAGGCCCCCCAGAGCTCCGAAACGGCCCCCCAAATGGCTTCAAAACTGCATTCCAAACGCCCCCGAAAGGCGTGCCGCGACATCCCGACACACATACAAGAAGACTCTAACCCATAACCCATGACCCAGAGTCTTCTCTCTGTGTCCCCCTCCTCCTCCTCCTCCTCCCCCTCCTCCACCTCGGCCCTCAAATGGCTTCACAACTGCTTTCCAGACGGCTCCGAGAGGCGTACCGCGAGCTCCGGACGCAGAAAACCGGCAGCCTAGAACTCTCTGAACGCACCAGATGCGGAATCTAAAAATACAAGGGGTCGGCGGATGTGGCGTAAGCCTATAGAATCTTCGAATATGCGCGTTTCGATTCAGACAGCCTCACAAAAATGGCATGTCGAGAACACTGCTGCGCTATCTCCAATGTGAAAAACGACGCTCTCGCTACAGACAACCTCAGAAAAATTGGAGGAGCACAGCAGACCAACATAGCTGAGCGCAAGGACGCCCTTTCTAACAATGGCCATTTCGCTGGGGACATCCTCAAACATCGTCTTCATATCGCTTTCGGAGACCAGCCCACCAGACCAGCGCGGCAGACCAGCAAGGCAGACCAGCACGGCAGACCAGCAAGGCAGACCAGCACGGCAGACCAGCACGGCAGACCAGCACGGCAGACCAGCACGGCAGACCAGCACGACGGACCAGCACGGATACCAGCACGGCAGACTAGCACGGCAGGCAAACACGCCAGACCAGACCATCACGGCAGACCGTGGTGTCCGAGCCCGCTGCCGCCATGGGGCTCACCATCTCAGTGATGAACGCTTCCACGACTCGCTAGGACAAAGAAGCGACCACAACGTGCTCCTAGGCAGCTGCTACCGCATGCATCCCAGCATCATCCAGTGGGCGTCCCACTGCTTCTACGAGGGCAAGCTATTGTCAGGACTGACAGGCCTCACCACTGACCGAGGCCTGGTCCACGGGCTCCCCTGGAGGAGAGCGCAGCCCTCTACCAGGCACGAGATGGACGTGGCCCTGGGTAAGGCCGATGATCATATCCACACCGTCCCCCCAGGACTTGGCGGCTTCTGTAACCCCGTACACGGCGCCCAGGATGGCGGCTACATCCGGGTCCTCCCTGGCCCAGTCCATGTTGACTCCCACGAAGTCACTATACCCATGGCGGAAGAGCGCGCCAACATCAAGGAGGCTGGTACGAACTGCGACATGGTGGCAGCGTGTGAGCACGACTTTCTACGAACCTGGCGCAAGGTCATGGTCCTCGGCGGATACAAGGCCATGCTGCCGTTAGTGCGAAGGGGCTGGCCACAGACAGCCGAGGAATTCTGCTCTACCCACGACGGCAAAAGGGAAGGAAAGGGTGAGGGAAAGGGCACGGGGGAAATCTGCACCGCCGCAAGGCAAGTCTCGCAGGCACAGCTGCGCCCCATCCTGCGACACCTCGCCTGGCAGGCCGACGGCCGCCAAATCCTGCACCCCGGTCCCGAAACATCCGAGCAGGGAAGCCGCCGGACTCACGGACCACACAGTCTTTCGGCAGAGCGCCACATCGACGAATGGCCTGGAATTGCGCTTTCCAGGGCTGGAAAAGCGGTGCAGCCGACTACTCCAACAAGGGCTCATCGAGATCACCACCATAGGTTACAGCCAAGACGACGAAGCGGACCTGGTCATAATCGGAACCACCCGGGCCAACAGCAGCTGCACCTGGGGGTTAATCGAAGACACACATCGGCTCAACGTCGCCTACACCCGGTAGTGGGCAACGGCAAGATGTTTAGCTCAGCCACCAAATCAGAGCTCAACGTACTCGAGAGGTGGGGGCTCGACTCGGGCATCTGGGTTCAGTTTGCTGGTGCCGACCAGGATGGCACCCGTCAACGCCTGCTCGAGGACCAGGACTTCGGGCCCCGCTCGCTTTCTGGCGATACCGTCCGAGATGAGACCACTCTGGACTACAAAACCAAGCTTGCAATTGAAGCTGAGCACAGGCGCAGAGAGAAGAGGATGGCCAAGGTCGGGGACCAACAGCAGCTCAGCTCCTCTACCCTGGTCGACTCCCCGCTACCAGAGGGCCATAACTGGAACCACTTGGCGGAGGACCTATGTGCCGCAGGACCTGGCGTAGCACTGCAGGCAGCTACTCAGCCACGACGGTTTCCTATACGACCTGGAGCTTGGAATGGACCCAACCAACTACATGTACACGGCCACCTGGGCAGCCCTAATACGCCTGGCCGGCCTGCAACCAACCGATGACGAGGCGGAACATGTGCTCGAGGAACAGCTTCCACCAGAGCCCGTACGACCAGGTACATCGCGCAGCTGGCGACGCAGGAAGAACCCTGTCCCACCTGCCACCCCACGGCAGCCGCAGGTCTGCTGGGGCCGCATCACCTGCCGATGTCAGCGTCACCCAGGGCAGCCGTCAGCGGAGCATCTCAGGGCCATGCTGGGCAAGGACGTGCTGGAACGGCACAATCGCCAGATGGACCTGTACGGCATGGACAGAAAACCACTCAGCAGCTCCTTCTGGGTCACCAACCTCCTCACCACCGTGCTTCCTATGGCGTACCCGTACAGCAAACCTGGCCCCACAGGAGACGCGAGGGAGGCCGTGCTAGCCTTCTGCGATCCCTGAAACAAGGCGCGCCTCCCCATACAGGACATATTCGGCACGAATCACGGTATGGACGTGAAGGACTTCCGCGCCATCCATGCCCACGTCGAAGCTTTGCTCAGGGCCGTCGGCCGCCTCGTGGTATGGTAGTCTCCCATCATCACCCGGCGGCCAAGAGCAGCAGCTGCCCATCCAACTGCAAGGACATGGACAGGTGCGACTTTCCGCTCAAGGCCTCCCTGCTCGTCTTGGACCAGCTGGTAGTCCCAGCCAACATGGTGGCCCTCCAAGGGGAAGACTGCGCCATCTGCACCCTCTCGGTGGAGTCAACAGGTTCCGAAGTGGGATTGCTGGACAGCGGCAGCCTGAGACCTTCAGCCGTGGAATACGGTGGGAGGTGGCAGATCCAGCTCGGGACGGGACCTCCTGGCGAGCCCACCTCAAGCACCTATCCCTGGGGTCGCCCTGGATCCCCAAGCGCTGCACGACAACGACGCCAAGTTCGAGCCCGACAACCTGGTGCGACGAGTACCGCATAAGCTTTGGCCCAGATGGAGGTACCTGGGTCAACATTGAAGTCCGCCAGCTCCTCGCTACCGATCGGAAAGCTGCCTACCAGCGGGGAGTGTGCTGCCGCTGGTGATGCGAGTGCTGCTGGAGAGGTGAGCTCAGGACCCAGGGGCAGGCTATCCCGGATGAAGCGAAGCTCCCCACTTTCCTGCGCACCCTGGACGACCAAGAGAGGCTGAGCGGCGATCAGCGTACCCGCAGGCCGCTCCCACAAGGATGCCAGGTGGTCAAGCCGACACTCCACATTGCTGACCGACCTGCCCCTGGCGCAAATCCGCCGATCCAGCGTGTGAGTTTGAAAAAGCCTCCTCGGCTACAGCCTACAGCCTACAGCCTGAGCTTCAGCTCTGCTGGGGGGGGGAGGGCGGGGGAGCTCTGCCGGGGAAGGGGGGAGGGGGGGTGGGGGGGGCACGAGTTGTGCTCCGTTTTCTGGGGAGGCTCCTAGGGCTTGTCGCGGCTACCCGCGTGTCTCTGGGGAGGGCATTTTTTAACACCCCTCCCGAGGATCGTGGCCTCCGAGGGTGTCCCGAACTCGAGTACCCCCCCTCCCGCCCCAACAAGCTCCCAAGAGGCCCCCAAGAGGGCCCAAGAAGCTCCCAAGAGGCTCCCAAAAAGCTCCAAGAGGCCCCAACGAGTCCCCCAAGAGGCCCCAAAGTGGCCCCAAGAAGCCCCGCAACTGCCCAAGAGGTTCGGAGGGGCCTCAAAACTGCCTCCCAGAGGCCTCAGAACAAGGCAAAGCATGAGCGTAGATGAATGGAGGAGTGGATTGCAACTCGAACCCCACGGCGGAGTCCGCACGTCTACTAGGACCCACGCTCACGTTCGATGGAAGCCTTCGAGCGGAGCTCCGAGGGCGAATTAGGGAGACAAAGGCCAGATGGAGATCGCTTGGCGAGCCTTGGACAGAGCCGATACCACTGCGCATGCGAAGGCTATCGCTTATCGCATATGTGCAAGGAGCAGGGCTGTCGGGACTGACAGGAGTTGCCTTGCCACGCAGCTTCAAAGACAAGCTTGACGTGGTGTTCATCAGGTTTTGGGGAGTGCTCAGCAGCCGTGACACGACGGGGGAGGTCGAGGGGGAAAAAGAGGAGCGAGACGCACGTACAGGTACTAGCATATCACAACGTCTCACGTGCCGCGGTCGACCTGCGGATCCAGAAGATTAGGTGGTACCAGAAGTCCAGGGACCCCAGGCAGCACTCTCAGGTCTTGGCAGGTATCTTCGGCAGCACCCAGATGGACCTCAAAGTAGATAGGCCGCGTCTGGGACCAGCAGGAGAACTTAATGGGTTTAGTACCCCTGTGGGCCCGCCAGTTTCAGAACGCCTTACAGAGCTTCGCGAAGATCGACCCAGAGTCGCAGTTTGCTCAAGCGTGGAAAACTAGGGACGGTATGCTCGATTGTTTCAAGAAGGAGGGATATCGTAAGGCGTTTTACAAGGAAAGACCAAAAACACATTAGGCACGTGTTCAACAGACACTGCGAGGAAGAAGAGAAGGAGGAGGCCTACGAGGGAACGAGTACGGTTGCACGCACGAAACACCACAAAGGGAAGCATGCGGTAGTGTGTTCTCAACGATGGAGGCTCTGACGGCCCACTTGAACAAGACACATAAGATGAGAGAGTTGTACTCGATGGTCACGACTACCAACGTGTGCCCATGGTTCAGGAAGATATTCACATCACAAACCAGTTGTGTACGTCACGTTTGGACAGTGTCTCGATCGAGTCCGATGCGTTGCCCTGTTTCGTTCGAGATCCCGCCGTTAGCGGCATCTACATACACGTGTGCACTTTGCAAATACGGTACTTCAGAGCTTTCTCAGCACCTCGATCACGTCAAGCAGCACGCAGCTGAACCCACCAGAAGTCGACGTCGTCCTTGTTGATCGGCCCCCCGCCAACGCAAGGAGCAGCAGGAGCACAACCAGCAGGATGGCAGCAAATAGGTGGACGCCAGCTCAAACGCCAGCGCGGCAAGGGGGCTGTGGCTGGCTCAGACGACGATGTGGATGTGACGAAATAGGAGAGCGTCTTCACACTCCATAAGCTCACAATCAACAACGCGCAGGTGCTGCGAATCTTGATGGGAGCGCTGTGGGACTGTCTCATACTGATGCTGGTGCATCCTGTGGTGTCGGACGGGATGCGCATGGGACAGGAGAACCATCGGCTGTGCACAGAAAAAGGCAAGAAAGATCTCGGCCCACCGCACCTGTACATCATCGGGTATAGTATTCCCACGCTCGCGAAGATGCAGGGCTTGCCAGACGATACGAGGAAAATCCTAGAGCAGTTCGCCAAGTTGATGGCAGTGATGGGCAGAAAGGAGATGAACGAGTTGGCGAGATACTTTCGCGTGAAGAGAACGTACAACGAGAACAACCAGAAGGCGGACCAAGCAAGGCTCCACCTCATGCTCAGCCCGATCGCCATCAGCACATCCACTCGCCCAAGGTTGCTGCAGCGCTACAAGGGAACAACAACGAGGTTCATCAGAGGGTGGCGATCGCGGAGCTACGGTAAGAGATCATCAATGCGCTCGTGGCCACAGGCGGAGTCGTGAAGATCGGGAGCCCACTCCCAGGGGCGCTCGAGAGGGCGGTTCAGGCGTCGGTGCAGGAGCAATCGATCTAGCTGGACTCGGGCGAATGGCGGCCGCAGGCAGCGAGAGAACCATGTTTTTAACTTCGAAACTCCAAGCGGCGACGAGCATATTGATACTCATTCAGATACTTTGAGAGGGGAACGACATGCCCTGATCACGTACAGCACAATTCCAAAATATTTGATTAGCACTGATATCGGTGAGCCAAACGTCAAGCCGGAAGGAAATTCAAAGAGGCGTTTCCAGGCCTTGCGGTCCTGTAACGACAAGGTCATTTTCGCTGAGGCTTACGCGATATCTGCCTGAGCTTTCCCAGGCCCAGGAGTTCCCTTGGACCAGGCCAGGGGCCTAGTGTAGCACCACAGCCCAGCCTTGCTGCATGGGCCAGTGTTTCTGATTGGGTTGCCTCGAACCTGACAGATCTCGGTGTCACTTGAGTACAGATCAGTAAGATCTGTTCCAAGCCTTTCCGCTGCCTGTTGCCGCTCACTGTTCAGATGAGGTGGGGAGTGGGGGCGGAGTGGGGACTGGGGGGGGTAACTTAAGCAGCACGGAGGCGCACGCCAAGCGAACTTCAGCGCGGACTGAAATGGCTGAAGCACTGTTTTTTTGTCGGGGCCCCGAGTCCCCTGGGGGCCTCCCCACGCACCCGTCGGCCCCAAGGTTGAGGTGATGGGCCCAAGTGCTCTAAGCCTCAGCTTTGTGGAAGCTGAACGAAGTGCGGTGCGCCTCCGTGCTGACGCGGGCTTTGAAGGTCCAGGATGGGCTACCAGGTCCCGCAGGTTTGCCCCAGTAGCGCATTGATCACACCGGCAGCATTTGTCGCGGCTAGAACTCTCACCCAGCAGTGGTGAGCCAGACAGCGGAGGACTACAGCTGCCCCGGTCTCGCTTGCTTCCTCATCCTTCTCCTCCTCCTCCTTCTTCTCCTCCTCCGATTCGTTCCTTCTCGTGCTCGTCCTCATCCATCCATCCCTCCTCGTCCTCGCGCTTGTCTCCTACTCGTTGGCCTCCTGCTCCCAACGCTGTCATCCCCGTCATCCACGCTGTTATCCTCGTCATTCGCCGCCCTGTCGTCGCCATCATTCTTTCGTTTTCTCCACCTACGAGATGGACAAGATCGGCGCTTCCCGTTTTTGTCCGAAGGTTTACCCCAGGCACATGGATATCTTCAGGCCCTCGGGGTCCCGAATATATGCACCTCCGCAGCCTTCCGAGGTCCAGGAAGATGGGCTCTCCAGGAGACGGGTGTGTATAGTCCCAACCTCTGAGCAACTGCCTCCTCCTCCCTCCACCTCCATCCGCGCTGAGTTGGCTTCGCAACTGCTTCCCTTCCCAACACAATCGGCATCGACGTCCTGAGTTTCGCGGTGGTAGTAGAACTTCCGGCCACTCGAGTGCGGGACGACGTACCACTTGGTCATATACTCGTTCGCCTAGCCAGCTCAGTCGCTCAAGCGGGGCGCGCCGATTCGAAATTGCAAAAATATCGCGGGTCGCTGGCGCAGCAGCTGCGGAACGTCCCGCGAGGAAGCGAACGGACACAAAATTTAAGCGATGGAATGCACCTACATACCACTTCACTGCCTCTCTCCCTCACTCCGTCCAACATTTCCTTCTCCCAATCACTTTCCTGCATAATTCCTGAATTACCGAGATCCCCATTGGGCCCTAGAAGAACTCAGAAGCTCAACGGAAGCCGCCAGAGGCGGAAGTGTCTCGCGCGCTCGCAGGACATGTACTGCGCAGCTCATGTACACTGGCATCTAGTCAGGAGGTAGCCTATACGTGAGGGTGCTCTTGAGTGTACAGAGCAAGATCTAGGTGTGCATTGCATGTGGTCCGTCTCTCCAGCACTCACTTTTAGGTCGGCGGCGCAAGGTAACCTCAAGCGCGGTTAGTCGAACGCGCCGTGATGAAAGGATCCAGCCTCGGCCAAGCAGGTCGGTAGTGGTGGTGGGAAGAAAGAGGCATTTCGCCGCACGCACACGCACACGCACGGAAAAGAATCAACAGGGAGAAGCGAGCAGGAGAGAGCACGACCGTCCGACAGTCGACACACATTACCAGAGCGAAGCACGGACGACAGGAGCACAGAAACGCGGATGACAGGAGCACAGGATCAGAGGTGGTGCAGACACCGAAAAGGTGGTCTACCATATTAAAGCCTCACTCCCCAGAGCGGGACCATGAGTGGCCATGAATCCTACCAAACAGAGGGTGACGCTCGAGCGCACGTGAAGCGCATCGAGGCATAGTACGATGTAGTGAAACATGTGCGAGAACGAAAAAAAAGAGAGGAGGAGGGAGCGGAGGGAGGAAAGAGAGAGGAGAGGGTCCACCTCGCCGAGCCTTGGCTCGAGCACGCGCCGTCCAACTGGCCTGGGCAAACGGCCAGAGATTCGAACGAGGAGAAGAGAGAGGAAGAGGAGCGAGGGGAAGAAGAGGGGAGGAAGGACTGGGCGCAATCACTCGGAGGGCGAACCTCGGCAATCGCGCGGACGGGACGGCGCCAGCGTTCTGGCGCGGTAGTCGGCCACGGCTACATGCAGCAAGGCAAAGGCAGAAGCTGCACTACGTGTGTGAACGGGTTATGCAGTCTTTGCACGTGTCCCTTCCGCTCAAATCTAGACAAGTCAAAGACACGGGAAATCTAGACAAGTCAAAGACACGGGAAGAGAACGGAGACCGCAGAATGCTTTCGTCCACGGGGTCTGAAGGCCGCGCTGCTCACGCGGCCCCAGGGCCCCAGAGAGACCCCCACTTGGCCCCCTCCGCCCCCTTTCCGCCTCCTCGCCCATTGCTCGTCATCTCGTCTGACACTGGCGGCCCACTCCCGTCAGCCTGTGCTGCCGGGCCACACGGGCGGGGAAAGGATGGAGGCAGGAGCAAGCACACGAAAGCGAACGCGCGGGCCTACCGAGACCCCTGCGGGCCGTTGAGAGGCCCCGTCTGCCGGTGGCCGCGCTCGGGGTCGTCCCAGGCGCGCTCCCCACACGGAGGGGGGGCAGGCGGCGTTACGCAGCGAGGGGCATCTCAGATGCGAAGGGCACGCGGCACGCACTGCCACGAGGCGGGCACGCCAGTGTGAGAGCTCTGGGAGCGCCGAGGGGGAACGACATGGGGGGGGACTTGAGTGGGGGGGGGGAGGAAAACGTCGAGCTTGAATCGGCGGTACATCGCCGGTAGCTCGGCGATAGGCCCCCGATAGAGAGACCGCACGTTCCTGGGCGAGTTGGGCGATCAGGACCCCATCGGCGATGAATGGGCGATTCGGGGTCGATGGTTCCCCTACTGAGTCAGTCCCCCCTTGTCGTTGCTCCTGAAGAGCACTGTCTGACAGCGCTTCTGGGCAACACAGACTGCAAAAAAGAGCGACGAAAAACAGGCTGAGTTGGAATCCGGGCCTCGCCCATCCAGATGCCCCGCTTCGCAGCGATCCACTCGGCACGGTTTTCCTCGCAAGGCGGTCGCGAAGGCCATGAATTGGAGCAGGGTAGAACGAGCCTCGCGCTGTCTGCAAGATGTTCCCATGAAGGCCCATGAGGCTACGAATAATCCCCCAAGAAGCCTCCTCCTCCTCCTCTTCCTCCTCCTCCTCCTGCTGCCGCTCCTTCCCCATTTCCTCCATTAAGTGCTACCCTAAGCGTCATGAGGCCCCTAGATGCCATAAATAATCCCCCAAGAGGCCTCATCATCGCCATCATCCTGCTGCTGCTGCTGCTGCTTCTGCTGCTCCTTCCCCACGTCCTCCCCCAAGTGTTCCCCAAAGAGTCTCCGCAACGGCTGAGGGAACACATGGTCCCATAGCTTGACCAAACTATAGCCAAACGTTTGACCACCTCGGCGTTTACGGAAAGGCAGGGGGCGGCGGTGACTCGACGTAGACGTCTTCGAAGTGTGTAAAGAGACACCCATCAGGCAACAATACCATGACCACCCGGCCCCCTGCAGCATAAAGCCTGCCAGGAGGTCGTTGCTGTGAGTGCCAATTGCGCAACGAAGCCCCCGACTCCAAAATCGTGCCCCAAATTTAAGAATGAAGATACTGTCATGGCAATTCCACAAGAAAGACACTGTCATGGCCGACTGCAGATTGCGTAGAAACAAGCCTGAACCATTTTGCCACGCTGGCGTTGAGATCGCGAGAACTAAACAATGGAAAACGATCGGATCAAACTGGTCGACCGAAAAGAGACCGTTCGGATTGAAATGAATGCCACAATACGGGTTGGGGGGGACCATTTCCTTCTACCTCCCCATCCCATCTCCCCTCCTAATCCTCCACATCCCCTTTCCCCCTCACCCGGAGCGAGCGCCGTTGCCGACTAATGTCAGGCAGCAAGCGACTGTTGGCAGATTAGCGGGAGCTTCGTAGAGCCAACCGAACGAAGGGGCGGACGAGATTAAGCTCGCTCGCCCCCAAGCGATGCGCAAGGCGGGCTACGCTGTCCTCCTCTGCGTGTAGCACTCATGAGACACGCTCACTCCCTCCCTTTTTCCTGCTTTTCTCTCTCTCTGTCTCCGAACGTACGTGAGCCCAGGAAGGCGCCACAAGTTTTTGAAGTAAATAATTTGGGCCCAAGAGCCCTCTGCGTAAATCGTCCCCTGGGGGCAACACTGCGAGATTCTGTGCTGAGATTACTCTCTGGGCCTCGAATGGTCGGAGGGGCGAGACAATTTAAACCAATATGCGGGCGCCCCTGGACCTCCGCGTGGAGATAGCCCTCGGGGACGTCCCCAGCGGACCCCTCCAACCGAAATCGCCCTCTCGGTCACTCCAGACAGGGGTCTGAAGAGCGCGGTGGGCTCAAGATCGATCTGCAGGGAAGACATGGACCTCCCCGCAGAAAGCGGCCTCTGGGCCCGCCAGGTCGGGATTCTGTCAGAGGGGGGAGTCGCCCGCAAGCTTGATATCAAAAGCTGGACCCTCTGGGATACTGCGTGGGGAGGCGCCAGGCGGGCACTGCGTTTCTGGCGGCGGCTCCCCAGCGTGGAAACGAGAGCCCGGCCTTAAGGCATCCTGACGCGACCAGCGTGCAAAAATCGGGGCGCACGACCAGTCGCGCAGCGAGGCGCCATGACAATCGCGGAGCGAGAACCCGATCATCCGTCTGCGTAGCGGGACCCCGCCAGCTCAGGAGACACAAAGAAGCAGTTGCTTGGCGCCTCGCGCCGACCCCCGCGCGAAAGTCGCGCTCAGCGGCCCGATCCCAGCCGATGCGACGCAGCTGCGCCGCCGCGTATGACGCAACGCGGGCGACATACGAACAGTCGTGCAGCGAGGCGCCATGACAGTCGCGCAGCGCTCGCCTTCGCAAGCGCGCGCCCGGTCGCCGAGCGAGACCACCGCGCGAAGGTCGCACAACGAATCCACAGCCGATGCGACGCAGCCGCGCCAACGCACATTGCGCCACGCGCGCGACACCTGAGCAGTCGCGCAGCGAAGCGCCACTTTGCTCGCGAAGCGTCCGCGCGCGCGAGCGCGTGCCCAGTCGCGCAGCGAGGCGCCACTCCCTTCGCGGAGCGAGACCCCCTCTCGAAGATCACGCAGCGAGACTCCCTCCGATGCGACGCAGTTGCGCCACCGCGCGTGGCGCGAGGCGCGCGACACCTGATCAGCCGAGCAGCGAGGCGCAATATCCAGGTCGCGGAGCGGACCCCGACACCCCCAATCGCGCAGCGATACCCCCAGCGGATGCGACGCAGGGCGACCTTCCCCCTTCGAAGGAGGCCGCGCGGGGGTAGAGAGGCGAGGAGGTAGCTTCCTATCGGGCGCAACTGGAAAGGTGCGGGAGGGCTGGGACGCTGGCAACGCGAGCGCACACAGGAGCAGCCCGACCCCCCACAATCCTGATGGGGGGGGCGTGCGCGCTCTTGGCCAGTCTCCCTTACACTCCACTCCCCTTCCCCTTTCGCCCTCCCCCATCCCCCTAGACACCCTCCAGGGTTCGATCCTGATCGATGTCGAACGGCCCGAGGGCCCGGAACAGGCCCCTGGAGTCCGAAATCGAAGAGACGCGTCTGGCTCGATGCTTCGATTGCCAATTCTCTACATCTAAATACTATGAACCACACACAATGAAAAAAACAAAAAAAAAAAAAAAAAAAAAAAAAAAAAAAAAAAAAAAAAAAAAACTATCCAGATGGGTGGCATTCTGGGCCCCATGCCAGTTCCTATGTTGCGCCGATGTGTTCCCATATGGGAGACAACGCCGACACATTCATGGCGAAAGCTACAGAAACATCGATCACCAAGAGATGATCAGCCTGCGGATGTTTAGCATCCAAGCAGCAACTCGACATGAGACAAGGAAACTCTTGGAACGAAGCGCCAGAATCTTCTGAACGATGCCCCCGCCCACGCCAGACTTGCGACGACGCCGCACGCTCCTCGGGCATCGAGAGCACCCTACGGCAGATGTCCGCCAGCTCCTCACGTCGGGCCGAAATGCGTCTCTCCATCCCGCTCTTCAAAGTCGATCCCCGCGTCATCACATCCTATATCCTCCTCCTCCCCCTCATCCTGTTCCTCCTTCCCCTCATCATCATCGTCATCATCATCATCATCATCATCATCATCGGCATCATCATCGTCATCATCGTCATCATTAGCATCATCCTCATCATCAGCAGCAGCATCATCATCACCACCATCAACACCATGATTATCATCAGCATCATCATCAACAGAAAACAACAACAACAACAACAACAACAACAACAACAACAACAACAACAACAACAACAACAACAACAATCATTTTACCCGAACGCTCAGTGTTCTCACCAGTGCCAGGGTTTTCATACGACGCCCGCCAATACCCCCACTTTGTGGGGGGGCCGGTTCAAGCTCTACCAAATTTCCAAACGACTCTTCGCCACCACCCACACCCAGCTTCCCGCCCTATGACGTTCGGACACTTCACTTCGTGGCATGCGGACGACCGTGGCTACTACACTGGCGCATGGTTTCAATGACTTCTTGTGGTAACATCTTGTGGAAACTAGCTTAGTATACGACGACGACGATTTGAAGGGCCTACGGTGCGAAAAATGATTTTATGTTGCGCGGTGCTAAAATTCCTACGAAACCCAATGGTTTTTGAAGATTTCGGCGTGCGCACGGAAAGAAAAAACGAATGTGTCCCGCATGGTATTATTTGACAGGGATGATGGCCCTGGCAGGTGCGCAACCGTTGTTGGAGAAGTTCGAAGCACGTGAAGAAGTTGATCGCAAAAGCCCGTTTGACAGAAATGTTTAAAAAAGTTGGGTTTCCTGCAAATCCGCAAGAGCGCGCGGGATGAAATTGTGACACTTTTTTTTTAAAAAAACCATTGGTTTTTTGATGTTTTTATGTTGAAATCGTTACGAACACTAAGGTTTTGGAAGGATTTCGTCTTGCGCGCGCGAATGTCCACTTTACCTTATTTTTTGCAAGGGATTCTTGAAGTTTGGTTATTTTAGAACAAGAAATTTCATTTTATAGTGTTTTTTGCAAGGGACAGCGGGGGGGAACAAAACAACCGGATCTTGATGACATCGTATTACCTGAGGCTTCCTCACGAAAATGATGAAAATGTAGCTGCGGCCTAGGCGCGGCGAGGGGGTCGCGCACCAGGGGTCCCAACAATAATTATTCTTTAGAATAAATAATGTTCAACAACAGCAGCAAAGACGACGACAACAAAAAAACAACGACAACAACAAAAAATGCAGCATCAGCATCAGCATCATCAACAACAATAACGACGACGACGACGACGACGACGCAAACAACAACGAGGACAACAACAACAACAATTGCAGCATCAGCATCAGCATCATCATCAGCAGCATCATCATCACTATCACCATCAGCATCGTCAGCATCAGCATCATCTGCAGCAGCAGTATCAGCATCGACATCAGAATCAGCATCAGCATCAGCATCCTCGTCATCATCAGCAGCATGATCAATACATATCAATCATCAGAGTCATCTTATCATCAGCATCAGCATCAGCATCAGCATCATCAACAACAAGGTTGAGAACTACAGCAATTGCAGCATCAGCATCAGCATCTGTATCAGCATCAGCATCATCATCACCATCATCATCAGCAGCAGCATCAACATCAGCATCAGCATCAGCATTATCATCATCATCAGCAGCATCACAAATCATCATCAATCATCAGCATCAGAGTCATCTTTACCACCAGCATCAGCATCATCCTCAGCAGCATCATCATCAGAATCATCATCAGCACCAATATCACCATCACCATCACCATCATCATCACCATCATCACCATCATCATCATCATCATCATCATCATCATCATCATCATCATCATCATCACCATCGTCCCCCTTCTAGTCGCGGCGTCGGGTGGGCCAAGCCTCTTCCCGTCCCTGCCAGTGCGGGTGCGGCGCAGGACTGGACGCCAGCAGTGGCACGCAAGGGTAGGCACCGGCAGGAAGGTCCGCCAGCCCCGCTGCGCGAAGCTGGGGGGCGGGGGACTTACACAAGATGACGCGTTCAGTTGTGCCGAGTCAGAGCACTGGGGAGGAGCACTTGGTGGCTTTCTGAATGTCTGCTGGGCCAACACATGAACAAACAGCTGTCCTGTGCGGCAATGGGAAACTTTAGACGCACCACTCGAACATAAGGGGATTGAGCAAGACGACGGGAAAACATTCACGGGGAATGTCAACTGATTCGGCCGCGGCACATTGGATTCGCCATGCGATGGAGCTTGGATGAACCTGCTCTCTTGGTGCTGTCTGCGGCGGTAGCGTGATCGGCAGCACCTCGCTACTGAAGATTGGTAGCAGAGCGAAGGCTCACAAGTGTGGAAAAGCATGTTGTAAAACGGAGTGGGAAAGAGTGGATTGACGAGACGACTGGTTTTGGCTGCCGTCGCTGCTGCCTGTCATCGATTGCTAGCGGCAAATTGCTTTCACTCAGTCGCAACTACTGCCAAATAATGTCGGCTGGTTGCCGATTGCTGGAGTCGGAAGGAGTCGGTTGGTAGGGTCGGCTGGGACATGTTGGAGTACGCTAGTGTTCACGGTTGGTAACTGGAATCGGTTGAAGTCGACGGTCGTCTGTCGGGACTATTTGGTTGGAGGCTGAATCGCTTCCATTCTGCTCAGAAGGCTGAATACGAATTACTGCTGCGGTGAGTCGTTGTTAAGATCATCGCAGGTGCGCGTTGAAGCCGTCGACCCCACTGTACTGTCATCGGCTGTAAGTGCGTTTGTGACACGTGCCGCGCTTACGCCGCAACTCTGTCAGTGTGGATTGCGGCAGGTTACGAATTACACTGCGGTCGAAGTCTTGGTTACGCAGACTCCTCTGAGAAGAGCCATCAATCGCGGCCTTCGTGTTCGACCAGAAACATGATCGTGCCGTTCCGTTTTCAAAACAACCGCAAGTCGGCGCCATGCCTGGGAGCGGGCCACTGAGCATCCAGGAGGGCCCAAGAGACCCACGAGGCCCTCAGGAGCCTCCAAGCGGGAGACCGTTGGACACTCCTATCCATCTGCGATAATCCTGCCGCCCCTTTCCCCGCTCCCTCCTTCATTCCTCATTCGGATATCCTGATCTCTACTCCCCAGTATTATGTACTCCTATTACGCCACCTAGCCCGCGGATAGCAACCCCATCCGGGACGTTCCATCCTAACCATCAAAAGCCAATGTCAGTTCGAGGTGGTTCGTCTCAACATGAATAGTTTGGCGTCGACGTTGCAAAAAAAGTGGCAGGAGTGGGACGGGAGGGAGGTACTCGCACGAGAAAAACTAAATGTCGATCTCGCCTTGACGCCGCGCTCATTTTAAAGGGTCCCGCCTGAGCGCAGCGCCCATGTTTCGCTCGCCAATTCGTAGATCACTCGTCAAGTCGTTGGGGCGGGGCCACGCACGAGCGTGGCGACTTGTCGCCCTCGCATAAGCTCCGCGCAGACTTCGCCTGGAAGTGGCGTTCCCGCGTGGACGCGGCGAATGTTTCGCTTGCCGAATCGCATGAAATCGGCACAAGCAGCGGGAGCGCGCGAGAGCGGGCGAAATGCTGTCCTCGCCCAAGTGCCGCGAAGGTAGTGTTCAAGCTGCAGTGCTGTTTCGGCGCGGCGCGTGCTTCCTTTCAGCCGCGCTCATCCTAGACATGGCCGCCCGAGGGAGGGCTCAATGGTGCTCTCGCCGCACCGCGCATGGATTTTCTGACTCGTTGCTCCCGCCCGTGGGCGGCTCGTGATTTCCCTTCGCCAAGTCGTCCGAAGCGGGACCGCGCCCGAGCGCCTGCCGCTCGTTGGGTGGGAACGCGTGCCAGCCCCAAAATCAAATTGTGCCAGCGTTGGTTCTTCTGTTGTGTCAGGGAGGGTTGGTGGAAACGGGCGGGACCCGCTGGCTCGATGCAACTGGCCAGCTTGCGACCTATTCCTGCCCCCCTCTTGCGATGCCCCCTCTCCATCCTTACTACATTACATCCTCCACACTCGATTCCTCTTACTACTGACAAACCTTATCACCACTATTAGTATAACTCTGATCCACATGCTAAGTCGGGTTATTGCTGTCTCTGGACACCCCGCGCAAACTTCTCTTGGCACCCCCTTCTGCTCCGCATCACCATTACACCATCACCAGCATCACCAGCATCATCAGCATCATCAGCATCATCAGCATCAGTATCCGCATCAGCATCGGCATCAGTATCAGCATCAGCATCATCATCAGATCATCAGCATCATCAACAGCATCAACATCATCAACATCATCAACATCATCATCACAATCATCATCGTCATCAGCATCATCATCGTAAAAGTCGTAATCAGCAGCAGCAGCATCAGCATCAGCATCATCGTCATTAGCAACATCGCCAGCATCATTAATCATAATCACCATCATCATCATCATCATCATCATCATCATCATCATCATCATCATCACCATCATCATCATCATCATCATCATCATCATCATCATCATCATCATCATCATCATCATCATCATCATCAGCACGTACTCACACATACATTAACACTTTCACTCACACTCACACACTCACATGCCACCTTGTGGAAATCTCGCACGGGAGTTTCGACTGTAACGGTTTTCAAGGAACTCTCAGGCGGGAGCCTTCTGGGGCCGCCAGATTATGTTGGCAATCCGGGCGGGTCAGCCAAATCCAGTGACTGTCGTCACTTTGGGTTCCTGAGGCGTGGATCAGGAGGAGGAATCTCGTGCCAGAGCCTCGTCTGCGAGTGAATTGTGAGGAATTCTCAGATCTCGGAATTCCTGAGGCGTGGATGTGGAGGAAATCTCGAGCGGGAGCCTCGTCTGTGAGCGAATTATGAGGAAGTCCCAGGCGGGAGCCCGCTGCCTAAGGGGCCGCCAGATCATGTTACTAATTCGAGCGGGTCACCCAGATCCTGTAGCAGTGATCACTCTGAGGTTCCTGGAGCGTGGATCTGGAGGAAGTCTCGAGCAGGAGCCTCGTGTGCAAATGACTCGTGAAGAAGTCTCAGGCGAAGTCCCCTCCCTATGGCGCCGCCAGATCATCTTAGCAATCCGGGCCAACCCTCAAAATCCAAGAGTTGTCGTCACTTTTGGGCGAGAGCCCAAGTCTCAGGCAGAAGCCCCTTCCCTATAGGGCTGCCACATCATCTTAGTAGTCCGAGCGGGCCATCACAATCCTCGTCGTCATTTGGGGGATCCTGAGGCCGTGTCCTACCGTAGGGAATCTGGATGCTGATGCACAGTTTCCAAGAGTCCCTGATCTACCAGGAGGTCGCCGAGCTGCTGCTACAGTGCGCCGACGGCACTCACGACTCGACGACGACGGTCAGGCCGAGGCGCGGGCGCGGAGCTTGCACAAATTCAGCGCAAACAAGCAGGAGGTCACGTGGCAGAATCCCAGACCGCACGCCGTGCGCCGCTCTGGACGTGGCCCCATAGGGAGCTCCAGCGAAGGTCCCAGTGGTACCGCCCGCATGCGTCAACCCCACCCAGTACAGCGCTTCGTGGCCCCATAGGCAGCTCAACCGAAGGCCCCAGTGCTACTGCCCGCATGCGTCACCTCCACCCAGTACAGCGTTTCGTGGCCCCATGGGGAGCTCCACCGAAGGTCCCAGCGCTACCGCCCGCATGCGTCACCCCCACCTAATACAGCGCTTCGTGGCCCCATAGGGAGCTCCACAGGCGGCGCTAGTCGCACCGTCCGCATGCGTTGCCCCCACCCAGGACAGCGTTACGAGGCCCCATAGGGAGCTCCACCGAAGGCCCCAGTGGCACTTTCCGTATGCGTCAACCCCACCCAAAATAACGTTTCGTGGCCCCATGGGGAGCTCCACCGAAGGCCCCAGTGGCTCCGTCCGCACGCGTTCCCCCAACCCAGCACAACGGTTCGCGGCCCTATAAGGAACTCCACCGAAGAATCCAATGGAACCGTCCGCATGCGTCTCCCCCACCCGGTACAGCGTTTCGTGGCCCATAGGGAGCTCCACCGAAGACGATACCCACAACTGCGGTACTCACAACTGCATACGGTTGGGTCCCTCGCCAGGCTAATCGGCCCAGCGCGCCGGCCACCGGGAAGGCTTGCCTGGAGGTGGTTGCCAACGAATTTTCGAGATGGCTCCAAGATGGCCCAAGATGGCCTCCAAGACGGACAAGATGGCCCTCAAGTTCGCCCCAGATGGTCCAAGATGGCCTCCAAGATGGCCCAAGAGCGTCCAAGATGCCTCCGAGTTTGCCCAAGAAGCCTCCAAGACGGCCCAAGATGGCTTCAAGATGACGGAACAAGACGGCCCAAGAGGCTCCCTAGGAGGGCCTCCAGAAAGGCCCGAAGAGGCCAAGATCATTGATTTCCCTGAGGTTCTTGAAGGATTTTAGCATTTGCTCCTTTTCGGCCTTCCGACAGCCCGAGACGGCCCAAGAGCCCCAAAAGATGGCCCCAAGATCGCCCAAGAGGCCTCCAGGATGGCCCCAGAACGGCCCAAGAGGCCCCCAAGACGGCCCCAAGAGGGCCCCAAGACAGCTCAAGAGGCATCCAAGACGCCCAAGATGGTCTCCAATACGGCCCAAGATGCCTCCTCCTCCTCCTCCTCCTCCTCCTCCTCCTCCTCAATCTTCCCCGCCATCCTCCCCCAAGTGTTCCCCGAAGGGTTTCCACAACGGCTGGGGGAACACATGGTCCGATAACTTGGCAGAGCTATTGCCACAACGCTCGGCCACATGGGCGATTCCAGAGGCAGGGGGCGGCGGTGATTCGCCGTAGGCGTCTTCGATGAAAAAAATCAGACGCGTTTACTGTCACACGAAGCAGATTTGCGGCCTGGAAACCTCTTCGGGGCAGATTGGGGACATTCGGCGGTGGACAAACCTCCCTTTAGTAAACCTCCCCTTAATGAAAACGGCCTGGGACCCAAACCAACGGACCTGGACCCGCAAAAACGACGGCCGCGACGCCCTATCGCGAACCGAAAACGGCCAATTCCTCAATCGACGTGTCAGGGTAGGAGGTCGATCCACCTCCGAGACATATACGGGCCCATCGATGGCAGATGGAATTGTCTTTGGTGCCTCTTGAGGCGTCTTGGGAACGAGTTCGATGCCTCTCGGGAGCTCCCGGGGGCTTTTCGGGGTTCTTGCGGGCCGTTTGGGCACGTTTGTGCCCCTGCGTTGGGCACCCCTTTGAAGCCTCGAAGCGCGGTGCATATGAGGAGCCTCTTGGGGTGCTTACAGCGGCCTCTGAGGAGCCTATCGGGCCGTCTGTGTCGCGATGACGCCGACCGACTGCTCCCCCTCCTCCTCCTCCTCATCCTCCTCCTCCTCCTCCTCCTCCTCCTCCTCCTCCTCCTCCCCCTCCTCCTCCGTCTCCCCCTCCTCCTCCGTCTCCCCCTCCTCCTCCTCCTGAATTCCTCCTTCTCGTTCTCCTCCTCCTCCTCCTCCTCCTCCTCCTCCTCCTCCTCCTCCTCCGCCTACACATTGAGGTAAGAAGGCTCGCAGGTTTGGCCATAAGACCGCATCCGAAAAACCATCGAAGCATCATCGGATTGATCGAATTGGTAGCAAGTGCACTGCTGCCGAGAGGGTCCTTCTTCACCCGAGGGCGACAACCACTGCCTGACAACCGCCTGGGGGAATGGGTCAGCTTGACACATGGCGCTCGACATCCGGAACAAGCTCCAGATGCAATGCCTCCATCCCATTCGCCCTATCCTCCGTTTGTAAGATTGGTATTGCGCGCGTGCGGAATCCCTGCCCCAGCCAGCAGATCCAGAGAAGGCGGCGTGGCTGCATGCTCGCCCTTACGCCCCTCAGAAAAGGCGAATGCAGAACCCTTTGGTTGAAAATCTGCACCTGGAGATCTCCCAACCAGGCAACTTGTTCAAACCGCTGCTCTCGAGGCAACGACGGGGCTCCCAAAGTGCCAGAACATACTGCCGCCCCTTGGAAGATGGAAAATCCATTAGGCCAGTAATTTAGCAATTCAGCATTCTCGCCTGCCCTCCCCGAACGGAACCCCGCTGGGCAGAGGCCCTGGTACTGAAAACGGTCAGACATGCGTCTCATGTTGACCTCTTGAAAAGCTTCAAGCCGAACGCAGCCAGCTGGGCATCATACGCCAACTCTCACCCGCCCCCCCGTCCCTTCCCCCTTTCCCCGAATTGGATCGATCCATGGGCGTCGCTCCCTGGAGCTCTTGATCAAAGCGTGCCGAAGCCGTCCGCGCTGCGGGTCCCGACGCGTGCGGTGGTCCTCGTCAGCGGCGCCCATCAGGGGGTGGCGCGAGGGGTGCGGCTGACCAAGAAGAAGCAGGGGCTTCTTGAAGGGCAAGGGCCTTCCTAGTAGGCCCTGGAGGCTTCTAAGAAGGCTTCTTAGAAGCTGAGCGGGCTTCTGAGAAGCGCCACTGTCGTCTTGGAAGCACCGCCGCCTTCTCACAAGGCCGCTCCCTCGCGCCAGCCCGTATGGGCGACGCCGACCTGCGGAAAGAACATCTGAATCCCACCCTCTCCCCCCCCCAAAAAAACAAGTGACCGGAAATTGAACCCGCACGCGGTCTGTCCTCGAGCACGTGCGTCAGTGGGTGGTGCCAGGAGGACACAGCCGTATACCTCGTGGGGGCACGCAAAGGGCTTGGGAGCAACTGCGTCGGAAAGCGGGCAGGTGTGCAAGGCGAAGGGTTTGACAACCCCATATGAACCCGTTCCCTACTTACCGATCCAAATCCTGGGGAAGGTCCCAAGCCGGGGAGCCGGATGACGGCAACCCACGACAACTCCCTCAAAATGAACACCAATCATGTAGGAAACACCAGGCGCGGTATCCACCACCCTGCTACGGGGTCGATGCACAAAAAAATGCGAGCGTGCCTTGAGCACGTAGTGCAGTTGAACAAGGTTTACATTGTCGTGAGTGATAAAAAGGTTGTAGGAGTCAAAGGCCCAGACCCCCCGAGTTGACAGATTTGCCGATTGAGCGCTCCCACGGCCCCCAAAAAATGCTAATTAGCCGCAGGGGGTACACCAGGCCAGATGCCCAGTCGCCCAAAACGGCTCCAGCTTGGGAGGCCCCCTGGAAACCTCCCGAGACTTCCCAGTCACCATCTGCAAGCCTTCAAAGCACGGAGAACCGCCCTAGGGCGCTGGCCGCAAAATGAACCCGTACAAAAACACTCGGCGCAGTCAGCGAGTGATGGATCAAACCTGATAGTGACGACGTCGGTAGTTGCAGGCTGACGGTGATCGTTTTCATATGATTCCATCAGCGGTTTCAGGAAAGTCTCCTTGGAATCGAACTCCTGGCACGGTACAGTCCCAAGGGTATGGACATTATTGTGGCCAGGTCACGAGCATAGTTCGCTGTGAACCAGCTGACCGTACTATCCGCGACCATGCCGCGAGGCACCGAGTGGAGTGTCCTCAACCCCCTTAACTGAATGTTGCAAATACTCCTCAATTGGCCCAGATACCAAAGTTCCCGATGTTTTGCAGCTTCCCGTCATGCCGCGTGACTTCCCTGGAGTCCAGAGAGCGCCAAGACGGCCCAAAAGGCTCCCAAAACGCTCCAAGACAGGGCATTACACAGTGTCTTCCTACTCCCTGCAGTAGGCTCCTATTCCCTAGGCAGTAGGCTCCCACTCCCAAGATAGGCTCCTACTCCCCGGGGAGTTGGCCCCTACTCCCAAGAGTAGGCTCGTACTCCTCGGGGGGGTGGCCTACTCCCCACAGGACGGCGTCACCCCGTCCCCCGTCCCATACGAGAGTCGGCTCCTATTCCCCCGGGAGTGGACTCCAACTCCAGGAATAGGCTCCAACTCCCCTGGAAGGAGCCTACTCCCGACGGGAAGGCGTCACCCCGTCCCCCGTCCCACCCGAGAGCTCTTACTCCCAGGAATAGGCTCCTACCCCCCCAGGAATGGGCTCCTACTCCCCACGGTGCGGCGCCACCCCGTCCCCCGTCCCACCTGGGAGTAGGCTCCTAACCCCCTAGGAGTAGGCACCTACTCCCCGGGGAATAGGCTTCTACTCCCAGGAGCAGGCTCCCACTCCCAGGAATGGGCTCCTACTCCCCGGGGACGAACCTACTTCCCACGGGGCGGGCGCCACCCCATCCCCAGTCCCACACCGGAGTAGGCTCCCGCGGCTCCCACCCCCCGGGGGGCAGGCTCCTGCTCCCTGGGGACGAACCTTCTCCCCAATGGACGGCGCCACCCCGTCTCCCGTCCCATCCGGATGTAGGCTCCAACTCTGCCGGGCCGGTCCTCCGCGGCTCCTACTCCTGGGCTCCTACTCCCACCTCCTACTCCCGCGAATAGGCTCCCACACCCCTGGGAGTAGCCTCTTACTCCCTGAAGTAGGCTTCTACTCCAAGGGGCGTAACTCTCACTTCCGGGAGTAGCCTCCTACCCCCTGGGGAGTAGCCTCCTGCTCTGGGGGGTTGGCCCCTATTCCCCTAAGCGAACGAACGAACGAAGTGCCATACGCAGGAGCGCGTGGGCAAAACACACTGCCAGCCAAATCTCACCGCTTTGCGGGAGCGGCTGCAAGCCGTCTGTCTCTGACTTTACAACGTGCGCGATTGGAAGAGTAAGGCGGAAGCGGAGGAAGAGGAGGAAGGCAGGGGAGGGGTCGGGTGGACCTGCACGGGCGGGTCGGGTCGGGCGGGCGGAGAGAAAAGCACGATGCATCATAGAGATGACACGCGCGTACCCTAACGGGCGGATCGGGTCGGGCCTGCGGGACATGAAAGTATGATGCATCATCGGCATGTCACGCGCGTAGAGGCGGGCCAGGGCAGGCGGGCGGGTGGGACATGAAAGCACGATGCATCTTCGATATGTCAAGCGCGTGGTCGGGCGGGCGGGACACTAGACAAGGATGCATCATCGAGCTGGCCCGCACGCACCCATGTGGGCGGGTCGGGTCGGGCGGGCGGGGAAATGAAGTGCAATGCATCATCGAGTTGGCACGCGCGTGCCCTAACGGGCGGGTCGGGTCGGGTCGATCGGGGCATACAACCATGATGAATCATCGAGTTGGCACGCGCGTACCCTATAATGGGCGGGTCAGGTCGGGCGCGCGGGAGGGGCCGAGTCGGGCGGCCCCAAAACAAGCGGGTCGGGTCGGGCGGGCGGGACATTAAAATGTGCCGCGTCGTCAGGCTGGCACGCGCGCACCCTCAAGGGCGGGCCGGGCAAGGCGAGCGCGCCTGGTCAGGCGGGCGGACGCGCACGGGCGGGACATCGAAGTATGACGCATCATCGAAATGGCACGCGCGTACCCTGACGGGCGGGACGGGTCGGGCGCACCTGCACGGGCGGGTCGGGTCGGGCAGCTGAGGCATGAAAGCAGGATGCATCATCGAGATGTCGCGCGCGTGCCCTGACGGGCGGAACGGGTCGGGCGGGTCGGGCGGACCCGCACGGGCGGGCCGGGTCGGGCGGGCGGGGCATGAAGCAGGATGCATCATCGAGAAGTCACGCGCGCACCCTACCAGGCTGCTCGGGGGGCGAGCGGGCGGGACATTAAAGTGCAATGCATCATCGAGTTGGCACGCGCGTGCCCTGGCGGGCGGGCCGGGTCGGGCGGGCCAGACATGAAAGTATAATGCGTCATCGACATGGCACTCGCGTGCCCTAATTAACGGGCGGGTCGGGCTGGGCGGGTAGGATGCACCATCGAGCTGCCAGGCGGGACATTAAAGCATGATGCATCATCTAGTTGGCACGCGCGTACCCTAACGGGCGGGTCGGGTCAAACGGGCGGATCTGGTCGGGCCGGGCAGACCTCCTCCTCCCTCCTCCCTCCTCCTCCCCCTTCCTGCTCCCACCTCCGTCTCCTCCTTCCCGTTCCTCCTCACCCCCCCCCAGGGTGGAGCGCGGCGAGCGCGCGAGAATAGCAATCTGGGCGGCGGGGCACGGGTTCGAGAAGTACAGGCGCCCGTTCTCGTGGCGCGTCGCCGTCCAGGGCGCCGGCAGCTTCGCCTTGCACAGGGCATCCTGCGCGGCGGCGTCACCTCTGCGGACGTCGACTGCCTAACTCACCGATCCTGAGCCCTGGAGCTGCCTGGCCAGGATGGGTGAAGTGGATATCCAACGTGCTCCGAATTGCTGGCGCCACTCTCCCGTGGGAAGGGCCCGGGACTTGCCATCGCTGGTCGTACCGTCGGACAGCACAGTGTCTGGACACTCCCGTCCTCTCCCGTCTCTGGCTCGCCTCCCTCCGTCACTTCCTCGCTTCCTCTCGTCATTTCGATCCGTCTGGGGTAAATCTTGCAAGATGGGCATATGTCGGGTCCAGCACGAAAGCCCAGGAGGAGCGAAGGCAAAGCTCGTTTCCTGGTGATGTCGCCAAGGTTACTGCTGACCAGCACTGGTCATGCCCTCACCAGAAGACATCTGGCTCCTGCAAGATGCCTATCTCAGACTCCCATTATTCCTCCTCTTCCTCCTCACCCTCCTCCTGATCCCCTCCTGCTCCTGCACGCCTCCCTGGGGAAACAGAAAGATACCGCAACCGATGCTCCCCGAACCTCTCCCAGGGCGACGAGAGCCCATCGGCTGGCCCGAAGAGGCGAAAACGAGGCGGTAGCATCGGCATCGGCCCCTGCCTCCCAGCGGGACAAACCTCCCTCCACTGGGAGGGAAGGGGTGCACCGACCTCCTACGACAGAAGGTGTTCTCGTAGCTCCAAGTCGAGCCCATGGAAATGCAAGATAAAGAACTGACGTGTTCGCACGTTCTTCGTCATCTTCAGGCCTCCGAAAGGCTTCTCCTCGCCACGGCTGGATTTCCTCCGAAGCTCCGGTCGAAACGCACCCCAGGACAGTTCCCGGACTCGATCTTTGAGGGGACACTGGGAGGGAGGGAGTGAGAAGGAGGGAAGAGCCCAAGGTGAGGAAGGAGGGGAGAGCCCAGCGGGAGGAGGGAGGGAACTCAAGATCGAGGATTTAGAAGCTCGCACGTTTGGGGGTCTCCTTTCCAGCGGAGCCCGGTGAAATTAAGCGCCCGCCGAGTGCGACTGACTGACATCAACGGGCAATTCGGGGGACTAACTTTGGCCCGCCCGCGGGAGCGGGTACCAGCAACCGCGCCAGCAAGAAGGCAACACATTCTAGACCGCGGGCACCCACAACCGCACCTGCAACCGTCACCAAACAACACCTCTCGCACGCATCCGCAACCCCCGCAAGCAACCGAACCCACAATCGCAATCGGGCAACACGTTTTGTACTGCGAGCACGTGCAACCGCACCCGCACCCGCAACGGGGCAACACTTGCCGGGCCGCGGGCACCCGCAACTGCGCCCGCAATCGCGAGAGGGCAGCACCTTTTTGGGGCCGCGGGCCACCTCCACAGACCGTCTTGTGTCATCGATCGGAGCCCTGTGAGACCAAACCGGGGCCTATCGTATCAGTCAGCATCACCAGCATTGCCACCAACACAATCACCGACAACACCACCATCACCGCATCATCGAAATATTTGCCGATCGACAGAGACACCATTGCCATCATCGTCACCATTGCCAACACCGCCGGCGTTTCTGTTTGCGTGTTTGGTATCATCATAAACGTGTTTGCCTGGTTGTCGCTGGACGCGTAGCGTTTCTGCGCATTCATTGCAGCGGGGAACCCACTCTCCAGGGTCACGACCTCTGCTTGGACCTCCTGGATGATTTGTCGGGGGGCCTCCTGAAGGATTCTCGCCGCCGCGGCTGGAATCTCTCCGAAGTTCTAGTCAAAACATACCCCAGGGCAGGTCAACGGGTCGATATTTGAGGGGAGTGGGCGAGGAAGGGGAGAGAGAAGCAGAGGAGAGCCCAAGGGGAGAAAGGAGGTCGGAAGAGGGAGGAGCGAGCAAGTGCGATACCAAATACTTATCGAATCAATGATGTTTCGAGGTTGTTTCGAACCAGAAGGTTCAAAAAGAAGGTTCGAGGCACATCTCCGAGTTCGAGCACTTGTGCAAGAGACGCAGGCAGGGGCAGAGGCGGATGCACAGGCGGGCGGATAAGCGGGCGGCAGGCATGTTGAGTTGTGGCGAGGCCGAACGAGAAGCACAACCCCCGCTGCCCAGACCCTCGAAGTCTTGATTATTTCGCAACGTGGATCCCAAAACGATCTCGACCCCTTCCCCAGGACCCACGTGTCGTCCTGGGTCCTTTTGTTGACGGCCGCGGTGCTCACGGAGCATCCCCCGAAGGCCGAGAACGGCCAAAAACCGGCGGTCGTGTTTGAGCAAGCGCGTTTCACGGGCCCTTGCCTTGGGAACATTTGGCGGCGCGTTTCGAACCGGGGGGTGGCCCCCCTCCAACACTTGGCGCCGTCGATCAGAACCAGGGGGACTCCCCTCCCCCCTAACCCCCCCCTCCCGAACCCGCCCCCCTGGCGCCGACGCAGGCGCTGGCGGCCGCCGTAGCGCCAACGCAGCGACGATGACCAGAGAGAGCCCAGGCGAGGGGGGGGGTTCAAACCCCCCCCCCGCGCCGGCGCCAGCGCCAGCGCTGGCGGCGGCCAGCAGCGCCGACGGCGGGCACGCAGCGACGATGACCAGAGAGGGCCCAGAGGCCGCAGAGGGAACACACAACTCGCCATATCGAGCCCTCGCATGCTCCTCAGACGCCCCCGAGACCCTTCTAACGAGATCTCAAGATGCATCCATTAGAACTCTGACCCTTTACCTAAACACAGTGGCGGGAAGAGCCGAAGGCCACGCCACCACCACCACCACCACCACCACCACCGCCACCACAGACCACCATACCACCACCACCACCACAACCACCACCACAACCACCACAACCCACCGACTACCACCACAACCACCACCAACACCACCACAAACCACCTAACCACCACCACAACCACCACCACCAAAAAGGCCACCAACACCAGCACCACCACAACCCATAACAACCCACCACAACCCACCACAACCACCACCACCACCACAAACCACCACACCATTACCACCACCATCACCACCACCGCCACAACCACCATCACCACAACCCACCACCAACACCACCACCACAAACCACCACACCACCACCACCACAATCACCACCACCACCACCACCCACCACCCACCACCCACCACCACCACCAGCACCACTACCAACAGCACCACCACCACCAACACTACAGCCCACCACCACCACAAACCACCACGCCACCACCACCAACACCACCACCGCCACCACCACGACCACCACCATCACCACCTCAACCCACCACCACCACCACCACCAAACCACCACACAACCACCACCACCACAGCCACCGCCACCACCACAACAACAGCTCACCACCACCACCACCACCACCACCACCACCAATACAAAAACACACCACCACTACTACCACCACCATGACAATCTACCACACCACCCACCACCACCGCCACAACCACCACCACTACTACCAGCAGCACAACCCACCACCACCACCACAACCACCACAACCAACACAAACCACCACCATCACCACCACCACCGCCACTGCCACCACCACCAACCACCACCACCCCCGCCGCCGCCGCCAGCCGCCGCCAACGCCTGCGCAGGCCCGAGGAGAAGGAGGGAGGAGAAGTACGGGAAGGTGGGGGGGGTCGAACCCCCCCCCCTCCGTCACGGGATGGGGGTGGGGGGGGGGGTTCAAAATCCCCCCCCCTCCATCCAGGGGGGGTTCTGGTTCCAAACCCCCCCTCCAAGCGACCATAGAGCGCGCTCTTTCTGACTTTTGGTCACACCGCGTGGGATGATCTGGGTCGTCGCCACCTCCAAGCACGAGCATCGACGCGCGGGGGCTGGCACACACCTCCTCATCCATGCCCGCCGGGAGGCCGAACCGCGCAGTCGAGAAGCACAGCACCCCACCCCCCTGCCTCGATTTTCTCGGCCCCCACCTCCCATCGGCTACACGCAAGAGCGACCCTGGGCCAGAGCGAAATTTGGTTCGCTGCATCAGGGGTGCGCGGGGGGTATCCCAGGAGGCCCACGCCAAGGGTCACTCCAGCAAAGGGTCACTCTTGCCTCTTACGTGTGCCAGGCACAAGCGAACGTACGCTACGGATCCCCCGAAACATCGAAGCAGTGCCGCCTGATTTGGCCGCGGAGCGCGCCGATCCTGCACGGAAGCGGAACCCGTCGCTCATGTCCACGCGCCTGAATCCAGGTCTGCGCTCCCTCGTGCGCAGTCGATCCCAGCACGAGCTGGGCGTCGCCCAGCGCACCGGAGGGGACGGGGGAGGGGGGAGGGGAGGGGGGAGGGGACGGGCGAGGGGGCGGGGCCCGCCAGAGGGGACGGGGGAGGGGACGGGGCCCGCTCCTCGAGGAAGCGCTGCACCGAGGCCTCCGCGGGCAGGCGGGCCTCCCCCGGCGCCCACCGCTCTCGGAGGGGCGCGAGGACGCGGGGCTCGGCGGCGCGCCCGGGGGCGGGCCGTGTCAGGGGGCTCGGGAGGCCTCGGGCCTCCCGAGAAGCTCTCGGAGCCTGCTCCGAGGGCACGGGCGGCTTCTCGGGAGGCGCGGGGGCTTCCGAGAAGGAGCCACGCCCGCCTTCGGAGGAGGCCTGCCCCCTCACACTTCCCAACTCGGTGCGTCGCCGAGGGGCGCAAAGGCAGAGCGAGGGGTAGTGGCAGGGCGAGGGGGAAGGAGATCACCTGGGATCATCCGAAAAGCACCGTGTGCGCATCAACCATCTGCAGAAGTCAGGCCTGGCACAAGGCTCCGCCCCTTGCCAAGATGCGAACTGCCAAATGTGGACCCTGGGGGCCGATTTTGCGTCTGAGCTGGGCCACTACGGCGCCTGTGAACCGAGATCGAGAAAGACGAGTTCATTTCCGACGTCCCCCGCGACTGCAATTGAAGCCCAGAACAGGCGGCCCCCTCTCCCGACCCACGTAGCAGATCCGTACAATTTCCTCCAACTGCGTCGGGTTACAATTGCTTTCATGCTGCTCAGGTCCCTCAACAGCTCACATCCTTGTCAATCGGAAGAATATTGTAAAGGACATACTTCATACATGCCCTCCCGCTGCCAAGTTCAGCGAGGCGATGTAGGCAGCTCGCTCCTGTGCCCAGGCTAGGAGATGGACAAGAGATAAGAGTGAGAGGAAGTGATGCACGAAAAGGATCAGGAGGAGCCAGATTACAAAGACACATTCACAAGCATGCATTCGCACAACTTGGCTGATGCAAATCTAAGTGTCTACGCCAACTTCAAGATAAACTACGTACACCTCCTTAGCATTTCTCGTCCTATGTTCCACCTCTCTTCCCCCCGTTCTCGTCCTCATCAGCCTTAGCCCCCCTCGACCTGATATATCCGACCGCCCCCTTGCGCACTGGTGTCCTCCGCGGTCCACTGCTGGAAGCACTTTATTACTGGATTGCCCTTCAACTTGCAGAAACAAAGCTGCCGCAGATAAGCTTCTTAGTTCACACCCTCCCCCAACCAACTAAGCGACAGGGAGAATGACGGGCATCGGCACAGCGACGGGGACGGGACATGGACGGGAACGGGGTGGGAACAAGCAGAGGCACGGACTTCGAGAGGGACGATGTATACGTGGTCTCGGTCCTCCGTGGAGCGAGAGAGAGAGAGAGGTATTAGAAAGGGAGAGAACAGAAAACTAAACAAACAAACAACAAAACAAAAAAAAAAACAAAAAAAAAAAAAAAAAAAAAAAAAAAAAAAAAAAAAAAAAAAAAAAAAAAAAAAAAAAAAAAAAAAAAAAAAAAAAAAAAAAAAAAAAACGCCACCGTGCCGCTGAGCACGGAGTGGGCCTGTCCCTAGGTCCTTTGCCCAATCCCCTGAGCCTCAGTCCTCAGTCATGAGGAATGTTTTAGGGGCACGGACCCTAATTTCCGAAATCTCTTGGGGAATGGCGCGGGTTCCTGGCATTTTGTCGCATGACCTGTTCGGCCCCAAGAGGGCCCGAATACGGGCCAAGAGGGCCCCACGAGGCCTCCGAGGCAGTCCAAGAGGGCACCGAGCCGCCGAAAGTTCCAAGATGCCCAAGATAGCCCCAAGATGGCCCAAGAGGCCTCCAAGATTCCTCAAAAAGCCTCCAACACGCCTCCCAAGATGGCCCCAAGAGGCAAAATTCGTTGATGTGCTTTTGGTTTTGAAGCATTTGGGCGTTCTCGCCTTTTCGGCTTTCCGACGCTCCAAGACAGCCCAGGATGCCCCTAAGACCACCCCAAAACGGCCCAAGAGGCCTCCATGAGGGCCCCAAGGTGGCTTAAGAGCGCCCCCAGACAGCACACCAAGACGGCCCAAGAGGGCCTCAAGACAACCCCAAAAGGAGCCCAAGAGAGGGAGCACGAACCGAAAATCCGAGCCTTCTGCCTCAAGAGGCGCCCAGGAGGCTCCAAGAGGCCCCCAAGAGGCCCCCAAGAGGCTCCCAAGAAGCCCAAAGAGGCCCACAAGAGGCCTACAAGGGGCCCACAAGAGGCCCCAAGAGGCCCCAAAACGGCCCCCAAGAGGTCTCCAAACTGCCTCCATGAGGCCTCCGAGACCTCCCACGAGATCCGAACAAACATCCAATGGCTCGATACCCACAACCTGGACACGGTGGCGGGATTGGACGAAGGCCATTAAACAGAGAGAGAGAGAGAGAGAGAAAAAGAAAAAAAAAATCAAGACGATTTGGATATGTTGTCGTCGATGTCTGGCCCGACGTAGCATCAGCAGTGCCTCCAAACCAGACCAACCTAAAGGAAACATCGGGACCGAGGTCTCTATGAAGGTGTCTTGAAGTCGTTGGATCTGGCCAGCTGCCGCACGTCCGATGATGTCGTCGACCAGGTCGTGATTTGAAGAGGCTTGGGATGCCTCTTGGGGCCGTCGTGGATTGTCTCGGGGCCGTCTTGGCTGTTCTAGGGCCCTCTTGGGCCGTGTTTGAGCCCTCTTGGTGCTCGTGTGGGCCGTATTCGGGCAATATTGAGGGTCTCGTGGGCCGTGTTGGGCGGTCAGAAATCCCAAAAGGCGAGTTCGCGAAAGGCATTGAAAAAATGACTGCGCTTGGTGATGTCTGTCTCTCCGAGGCCTCTTGGGAGGCCTTCTTGGGACATCGTGGGCCATCTTCAAAGAGATCTTGAGCCGCCTTGGCCCTCTTGGAGTTCATCTTGCCCGTCGTAAAAGCCATCCAGGACAAGAACGTCGTGAGACCATCGTGTACCGCCTGGGGTCCTGGAGATCAGCCGAGACCAAGACGGGACCCAGGGGCACCAGTCCTATGGCAGCCAAGGGACTCGATGTGACAGCCCGTATTGGAGCCCGCGAGTGCCAGTCGCTACTCCACACGAACCTGTATACAGATTCGCGCTGGTGAGTATTTCCGGTGCCTTCTGGGATGGTGGCGATGTATTTGGTGATCTGTGCACCACCACCCTCCCCATGAGGCCCAGGAACAATTCACTGGGGGAGGCCTGTATATATGATATTTGGCTCCAGTTGGCCCGCTTTAAGCCCCCGAATACCAGTCTCGCTGGCGAACCGCGCCCCCCCGTCCAGCCAATTTGAAATAGGCCCCGCCACGGCCGAGTTCGGGCCGACATGACTCGAACACTACGACGACGCCACCGCCGTCGGTTCGGAAATCTTGGGGTGCTTCTGGGTGCTCGTGTCGCCACGGCTGGACACAGCTCCAACGATAAACCAGGATGGACCCCGGGAGGGGTTCCAGGGAATGATCTTGAGACGATCTTGCAGGAAGCTTCACGCACCCCCCGTCCCCCCTGTCCACAACTAACCTGCCCTCAGTCCCCCGACTCCCCCACCGCATCGCCTGTGTTCCTCGCTCCTCCGGGCGCGCACAAAGCCATGCATGGTGTCGGGAACTGTTCCCTATGATACCAGAGGAACTGCCGACCCAGCCGGGAAGCGAGGGCGCGTTTTCCTGTCATCCCCCGTCCCTTTCCAGGCAGGCGACAATCTAACGTAAAACCCACACACTAACCCAGGAAAAAGAGAAAAAAGGCGGAAGGAGGTTTGTGGTTGGACCCTTCATCATACCAAAACAATCCGAGGGGGAGAGGGAGGGATACAAAAGAGGGGAGAAAGGAGGACGGGGAGGAGAAAAGAGAAGGGGAGACGAGGAGGAGACTGAGCGGTGTAAGCTACGTTCGCCCGCGCCGCATCGAACATCCCACCCCCCTCCCAACCGTTCTTTCCCACCTCGCCATTGCGCAGAGTCCCGTCCTAGACGCAGGGTGAGGTGTCGGATCGGGCATGCGCAGTGCTTAGTCAATCTACTGCACCAAGGGGAGATGGGCAGATGGGGCCAGGCAATGCGCAGATAGGGCGACGTCTAAGCTGAGAGAACACGTGCACAATCAAACGGCAACTGGCAATAAACAAGCATGAGGGAGAACGATGATGAGCAGGGGGAGAAAGAAACGTGCGAGTGGAGGAGGAGGAAGAAGAGGAGGAGCGGACGAAGAGTAAGCGTGGGGAGAAACCAAAAAAACGAACAGGAAAGAGGATATGCACAGAAGGGGAAGTATGCGGGGTTGATTGAAATAGCAGCTGCAGTATCATGTTCACTGGAAGCTTCCTTGGCATTCGCATCAGCATTCGCAGTATCGGTTAGCATTGGCAGTATGCATTAGCGTTCCTGTCATGATTCGCATGAGCTCTCGCACTAGCATCAACACTAGCGCTCACATGAACATAAGCATGCACATGGGCATGAGCATGAGAACCAGGAGGACAACGATGGGGGCAAGAGGGAGGGAAGGAAGACGGGGATGGGGAGACGACGACGACGACGACGCCTGCTCGTCGAGGCGGCCCGCGCCAGCAAGAGCAGCGTGCCCCGACGGCCCTCTCAGACGGCGAGCAGGCGCAGGCCGCGACCCAGGGTGGTGACACAGGGCGAGACCAAGGAGAGCGGAGAGCGGCAGTCACGTATTCTGAGACAGGGGAGCACGAGTTGGAAGGAGCAGAAGCGCGGAAATGAGGCCAGAGTGGCCGCGGGAGCACCATCTGGAAGGACCGAGAACGATCGGAGCGCAAAAAACACGAGTGGTGAGATCATCTATGCAGAAGAAAAACCAGACGCGGAAAGGGCCGAATATCTTGCCGACAAAGCCTGTGGAGAGAGGAGGGTAGTATGCATAATGTATAGCGCAAGGAGGCCAGCTAAGTGCACGTGCGCCAGACCTGACATCCCACCTCTCCCTTCTAACCTTTCCTATTGCGTTGAATGCATTTCTATTCGTTCAGCAAGGGGTCGCATCGGACCCTGACCCCATAGATGGCATCTGCAGTGCTTGGCCCGTGATCTACTGTACAAGGAAAGCGGGGTCCTGAATCTTCAGGAGGGAGGGGGCGGGAGGGACGGAGAGGGAAGTCCCATGGTGGAGGCCCAGTCTGGCACGTCCGAACACACTGGACTGGCACGCGGGCAGCATTGAAAGGGCAGAGGGACAGGGACGGGGGCGGGCAGAGGGGAAGGGGGGCAGCGGGAACGGGAGGGGGGGGTCAAAACCTAGCATCCAACAGCTCGACGGTATCACGAGAGCCAGTACTCCTGCACGCAGGAGTCGAACGCTGTCCATCGAGCTCGATTCACGGGAGACCAATTGGGGCGTCGCCGCCGCTGTTCTGAAACTCTCGCTGTTATGAAGGTCTTTCGGAGACACCCTACTGACGGACCCGACCACGGTAGAGGTGAGCATCCAAGAGAAGTCCCCTGAGAGGAAATTGATGATGGTGTTGGCTCGACATCTTGCGAAAGAGGTGGGAGAAGAGGAAACAGGAAGGGAGCGAGCAAGGGGCACCTCATTTCAATCGCTTGTCTGCGGTCCCTCATAGCCTCTGCTTTGGGAATCTGCCAGACATCTCCCCACAACAGTCGGCTCGCCAAGGCATGAGATATCGCGGCATGGTCACCCTTGCCTTCTACAGCAAAACCAGCCAGGCCTGCTGCCAACTTCTCTTGGGCTCCTCAGAGCCGCCAACTTCTCTTGGAGACTCCGGGTCTCCTTGTCCAAAAGCTCCTTGTACTGCACGAGCTCGTCGTACTTCACCCTCAGCTCCATCTCCGACTCGGCCCTGACCCCGCTCGGCGCCGCTGGGGAGCTGGTGACGGTCTCTGGCACTACATTCAGTCGTTGCTCTTGGATAGCATCCTTGTCCAGTGCCGCCCACGCCTCCTTGGTGAGCGCGTCTGGGGAATCAACCGAGGCGGCCTGCACTAAGAATCGGTGGGACTTGACCTGGGCGGGATCGCCAGCACCCTCGTCTTGGAAAATGATGTGCACGTCCTGCGATTCTCTCGGCCTTAATGTACCAGAGCTCTTTTTCACCTCGTATGACTTCGGGGCCGTCGTCTTGACCTTGTAGGCGACGTGATCGCTGCTCTTGTTCGTTAGCTTCAGAATCCGAGGGTGCGTCTTGTTGCCCAGCACCACACGTAGCGTGTCCTCCGGCTCCACTCGAAGCAGCGTCATGGTTTGACTCGGCATCTCCAGGACACTGCTGCCCGGTGGGCGCCTGGCGGCAGGGCCAAGAAATTTCAGTTGTGAAGCGCCCATCCTCGATTCACCCCTCTCTCCATCCCAGTCCCTCCATCCCCAACTCCACGCAGGGGAATTATCCACATCCACCAATTCAGAGAAGTGCCCCCGAGGATCTCACAGAGCGCTGAATGTGGATGTTTCCCGCCCTCAGGGATCGGGAAGGTATTCAGACCCAACGCTCCGCAAGATCCTCGGGGGCACGTCTGCGAATCGGTGGGTATGATAAATCCCTGGCTTGGGCCCACAAGGGACGGAAGAGCAGGGGAGATGGGGAGGAGCACTTCACTACCGTAGATTTGTCAGCCCTGTAGTCAGCCCGCAAGGCGCGGGCCGCGACTTGAGCCACGCCTACGTGCACGTGCGCGCGGGAACAGCAAAACGGCTGCGCCAGCGCTGCTCGCACTGGCGAAAACAGGTAACAGCTATGTTTCTGGCAAAACGCTGAAGATCAACAGATGTTTCTTGGCAGAGAGTGTTCGTGAAATGCATGCATGTCCGTGCGTGGCCTTGCAGTACTTTGCAAACAACTTCGTGTTCGGAGGTTTGTGTGTATCGCTGCATATCTTTCCGGCGTCGCATCCACTTGTGGGCGCTTGCGGCCTCCACGATAGATCGGACCTGACATGACCTGACCGATGTTCTGGCCAAGCGCCAAGTGTCGGCGCGCGCGCGCCGAGGAGGAAAGTGAGAGGGGGCAAGCAAGCCTTGTCGGAAGGCGGCGGGGCTGAGAAGGCCTAGAAAGCTTCTCAGTAGGCTGGAGGCCTTCTGAGCCACCCGACAAGGCTCGCCCCCTCTGCCTTCCGCCCTGCCTGGGCGCGACGCTGACACGGGCGGTCACACGCAGTGTGCCCGCACGCTTCGGACGTCGGCGACGGCGACGACGGCGATCGGCCTCGGGCGTGACACGTCAGCCCCGCGTGCTCGCAAGAGCCCGAGCAGCAGGCGCTCACGGCAACCACCCGCCTGGGCGAGACTCCCCCCTCTCCGCCCTCCCGAGGGGGGGGAACGGAGCGCACGGGGAGGACTGGCTCGGGGAGCCACGTCTCCACTTCAGCGTCCAGGGCGGTCAGAAACCCGGGCGGCGCCCCCAGGGCGCCCGCGCCACGGGCTGCAGTGCCGAGACCGCCCTGGACTGCTGCGAGCGGCAGGGCCTCTCCGCGCGCGGCCCCGAGACCTGCCACTCTCAGCCCCACCCCTCCCCACCGCCGCGTCGCCTCGGGAAACGCGCACCACCGGCTGGGGGCGGCAACGACGGCTCCGCAGCCGCCGCGGCCAGCTGCAAGTGCCGGGTGCCGGGCGGCCCGCTGCGCGCGCACGACGCCTTCTGCGGCGCGGTGGGCATCGGCAACACATCGACGATACGTCGCCGCTTGATCAGCGGGTAGGCCCCTGATTGGGAAACCGCACGCTCCTGGGCGGGCGGGGGCCCAGGCCCGGACTGGCTATGAATGGGCGATCGGGGGTCGATGCCTCCCCCCGCTGGGCCTGTCCCCACCGGTCGGTGCCCGTGGCCCCCTCCCCATTCTGAGAGATGACAGGGGGGGGATGACGGGGGAGGGACGAAGAGAGGAGCAACGCGCAGCGGAGCGGAGCCGAGCGGCTCCTCACTCCAGCAGGGGACAAGAAGACGCTGGCGATGGCGAGGAAGGACCATGATGTGAGCATGCTCACGTCAGATCCAGCCGTCCTCTTGGCGTAGATGGTGTAAAGAGTACGAACTCTCCGAACAGGAGGAACGCGGAAGAAGGCACGAAAGGGGCTGTTCTGGCCACGGCAGGCACGAAGGGGCGGTTCCGGCCACGGCGAGCCTCGGCCTCGAATAGGCTCCCCGACCTAGATCTGAGGAACGGCCCGAAAACCAGAGCCCCTCCTGAACCCAAAGTGGTCCTCCTTTCAGCGTCTTGACTGTGCCATTCTCTCTAGCCCTTCCGTGTGGAACGCAGAAGGTGAGGAGCACTTCGCCTCATAGACTTCTCACTGACTCGAACCTGCCCGCAACCGCCTCCCCCTGAAAAAGCAGCAAGATGTAAATTGTAAATGCGCCCTCCTCGGCGCAGGGCTGCGAGATGTGCGAAGTCTGCCTGTCGAGCTGGCTGTTCCGGTCCTGGACAGCGAAGGAATCTGAATGTGCGGAGGGCGAGTAAACGGACGTTTCGCGTGCCTGCCGGAGCACTCATCAGCGAAATGCCTATGTGCGACGGCGTGCACGCAGGTGGATTGCGGCAATGGGCTCACTGAAAAACAAGCATATCACCACCTTGCCCACATGCCGGCACGTACTTACGCCGAGAGATTCGAATGAACAGAGACCCGGCGACCTGGTGCGCGACTAGAAAAGGCAAAGTAGGCGTCTCAGGAATGCACTACGTATACCCCTCCGACGCTCCCGAGTGAATGTGACTAGCATTAGCACTCTCGACTTATGAGGAACGGGCAGACGGTTCCTGAGAAGTGAGCGGCCTCCTCAAAGTCAAGCTCAGCACAGACTCCCCAGAGGGCGGCACTCCGAGAAGGCTGCCTCCTCCTCATCCTCCTCCTCATCCTCCTCCTCATCATCCTCATCATCATCCTCATCGTCATCATCATCATCATCATCAGCAGCAGCAGCATCAGCATCAGCATCAGCATCAGCACCAGCATCATCATCACCCCTTAACACAATCCAACACCGTGCCTGCAAGATGTGGGCGAGTTAGACTGCCAGGTGCTGCTCTGTAGGGTTCTCGTAGTTCTCATACGATAACCAGGGACCCACCCTCTCTACTCGCAGACAACCGCATGCATAATCCCTGCTCCCGAGTCAGCGATCCCTCGTTTTAAAAAACTATGGGTCCCCGCTCCCGAGGCCACGATCACTTGTAAATATTAGCCTGGCGACGGACCCAACAATATGCAGGTGTGGGTAACGCAGTTGTGAGTATCATTTTCGTGGAGCTCCCTATGTGTTCACGAAGCGTGTGATGTACCGAAAAGGGCGCGGCGAGCGCATGCGAACGCAGCCACTGAAACATTCGGTGAAACTACCCATGGAGCCACGAAACGTGTGATGGGTATGCCGAAATGGGTGGGACGGACGCATGCGAACGCCGCCACTTCGGTGGAGCTTCCCATGGGGCCGCGAGACACGTGAGGGAAGTGCTGAAGTAGGCGGGGCGGACGCATGTGAAAACAGCCACTTGGGACCCTGGTGGAAACCCATACGGGGCCACGAAACGTGTGAGGGGTGGGCCGAAATTGGTGCGGTGGGCGCCTGCGAACGCAGCCATTTGGGACTTCGGTGGAACTACATGTGAGGCAACGAAACGTGTGAGAGGTAGAAAGAAATCGGTGCGGTGGGCGCATGCGAGAGCAGCCGCTGTGGCCTTCGGTGGAGCTCCCCATGGGACCACGAAGTGTGTGAGAGGTATGCCGACATAGGTGCGGCGGGCGCATGCGAACGCAGCCACTGGGGCCTTCAGTAGAGCTCCCTGTGGGGCCACGAAACGTGCGAGGGGTGGGCCGACATGGGTGCAGGCGAACGCCGCCACTGGGGCCTTCGGCGGAGGTCCTCATGGGGCCACGAAACGTGTGCGGGGTGGGCCGAACTGCAAGAGGTGGGCGCATGCGAACGCAGCCAGTGGGGCCTTCGGTGGAGTTCCCTACGGGGCCACGAAACGTGTGAGGGGTGTGCCGACATAGGTGCGGTGGGCGCATGCGAACGCAGCCGGTGGGGCCTTCGGTGGAGCTCCCCATGGGACCACGAAGCGTGTGAGGGGTGGGCCGACATGGCGCGGTGGGCGCATGCGAATGCAGCCACTGGGCCCTTCAGTGGAGCGCCATGTGGGGCCACGAAACGTGTCAGCGGTGTGCCGACATTGGTGCGGTGGGCGCATGCGAACGTTTCACGAGCGCTTGCCTTGGGAACATTCGGCGGCGCGTTTCGAACCCGGGGGTGGGCCCCCCCAACACTCGGCGCCGCCGATCAGAAGGGACTCCCCTCCCCCCTAACCCTCCCCCCTTCCCGAACCCCACCCCCACCCAGCGCCAGTGCCGGCGGCGCTGGCGGCCGCCGCAGCGCCAACGCAGCGACGATGACCAGAGAGGGCCCAAGAGGGGGGGGGGGTTCAAACCCCCCCCCGCGACGGCTCTGGCGCCGGCGCCGCTGGCGGCGGCCAGCAGCGCCGACGGCGGGGACGCAGCGACGATGACCAGAGAGGGCCCAGAGGCCGCAGAGGGAACACACAAATCAAGTCGCCATATCGAATCCTCGCATGCTCCTCAGATGCCACCGAGACTTCTGACGAGACTTCAAGATACATCCACTAGAACTCTGACCCTTTGCCAAAAACACAGTGGCGGGAAGAGCCGAAGGCCACACTACCACCACCACCACCGCCACCACAAATCACCATACCACCACCACCACCACCACAACCGCCACCACCACAACAACCACCACAACCAGCACAACCCACCATCACCACAACCACCACCACAACCACCACAAACCACCTTAACACCACCACCACCACCACCACCACCAAAAACGCCACCACCACCAGCACCACCACAACCTACCACAACCCACCACAACCACCACCACCACCATCACAAATCACCACACCATTACCACCACCATCACCACCTCCGACACAACCACCACCATCACCACATCCCACCACCAACACCACCACCACCACAAACCACCACACCACCACCACCACCACCACCACCACCACCACCCACCACCCACCACCACCACCAGCACCACTACCAGCAGCAGCAGCACCACCACCAACACCACAGCCCACCACCACCACCACCACCACCATCACCACCTCAACCCACCACCACCAAACCACCACACAACCACCACCACTATAGCCACCACCACCACCACCACCAATACAACAACCCACCGCCACTACCTCCACCATCACCACAATCTACCACACCACCACCACCACCACCGCCACAACCACCACTAGTACGACCAGCAGCACAACCCACCACCACCACCACAACCACAACAAACCAAGTCACCACCACCACCACCACCACTACTACCACCACCAGCACCCCCGCCGCCGCCGCCAGCCGCCGCCAGCCGCCGCCGACGCCAGCGCCGGCCCGAGGAGAGGGAGAGAGGAGAAGTAGGGGAGGGGGGGTCGAAACCACCCCCCCGCCTCGTCACGCCACGGCCAGCAGGTCGCCCGGCAGGCGGAGCAACGCGTCCCACGCGGTCGCGAGGGCGGCGGCAAATTCCAGGTCCCGTTTGAGGATACCGGCACGGATCATGGCGAACACCACGGGCTTCGGGACGGGGTCGAGTGAGCCCACGAACCCTCGGCGGCGAAACCCTCGGAGAGCCGCTCGCGTTGGGGGCAGTCCACCGAACTTGGCCTTCGGCAGGTCGGGCCTGCAGCGCTAGATCGCAGCCAACACCCGCGAACCCGTCTCCCCGAGCTCGCCCTCCCAGCATAGGTGGCCCAGGTAGTGGGCGAGAAGGAGGTCGAGGCGTTCGAGGGGGACAAGCTTCACCGAGTCGAAGTTGGCCCACGTCACGAACAGGGTCACCATCTTCTGGTATCTTCTTCGTGTAGCAATTCTCGGGCGTGTATACTGCAAGTATGTCAGCCCACACTCTGCGGCCTCGGCCCTGCCGTCGGCGTCGCGCGCTCGGCGCTTCGCCCTCTCGGCCCTCAGCAGTGCTTGGCGGGGCTTCCCCGCAGTGCGTATAGATGACGACGAGCTGGTCCTGTGGCTGCGACCTGCCGCGCGAAAGGAGGAAGACGGAGAGCTCGCGTTGGCTGCGCCTCTGCTGCCCCGCAGGCGTGGAAGCTCTCGACATCGAAGCCGGCATCCGAACCCCCGCGCGCGCGGCGGCCCCAGGCGTCGGCGCCCCCCTCCCCCCGGCAATGCTGAACGCCGAGCTTGGCGTATTTGCGCATGCCGAAGGAGTCCAACTCGTGGCAGTCGAGCCGCTCGACCTCCTCAAGCATCGCCCTCTCGAAGGCAGCCCTGGCCTTGCCAACACTGCGGGGGCCCAGCTCGAAGCGCCCGATGGGCGGGGCGACTGCGCGGGAGCCCTCGTCGCTGCTGTTCCACTCGCTCGGGAGCCAACGGACAGCTACGGCCGAGACGTCGAACAGACACGCAGCGGCCAACTCACGTCACGAGGAGTTGAGGAGGGGAGATGACGCTCTTCCTTTCACCGAGGCCACGATTAAGCTCAGATTGTCGCAAAGCGAAAGATGCATCGTTCCTCTCGATCGGATATCTCTAAATCGACGCCGAACACCGAGCAGGACCCCCCTTCCCTCGAGCTCATGTTCCGAAGCCGAACCCATCGTCCGATGAGGGTGGACGCCCAGGCGCCCAGCGGGAACACTAGGTTGGCGTCGAGCCCCACGTAGTCACCCTGCGTCACTCGGTCGGTGGACACGATGTCGGGAGCCCTGTCGTCCGCGCACACCGCCACCCCCTGGGAACCGCACTCGACCTGCTCGCGGATGATCTGCTCGAGGCCCGTCGCAAGCTGGCTCGAGAAGGCGCGCTCGCGGGCCGCCGCCGCGCCAGCCACGAAGTAGCGCCAACGCTCGGAGCGCTTCGCGGCGCCCCACACCGCCTCCGTGGGCCACGCCCGCTCGGCGACGCCGAAGCCGCCGAATAGCGCGCCCTCGGGGTCGCCGTCTCCAGTCGACGCGTCCGTGCTCGTCACGATGGGGTCGACGGGACGCATCGCGCTGAGGTAGGCCAGGCCCAGCAGCGCACCCGCAGCAAGCAGCTCAGCCGCCACGTCGGGCCACAGCCGCCAGACATTGTCATCTGCCTTGCGCGCATACCGCTGCGCCGCACTGAACACGGACAGAAGGGGCCTCCTCAATAGTGCTGCCCAGTTGTTGTGGCCAGCGAGCTGGAACACAGCGCGACCAGATACATACGTCTGGGACGCCAACACCAATAGGGCGAGACGCATCTTCCACAGGCGGCTGGAGGACAGGCGAACCTCGCCAGTGCCGCGCAAGAACACCAAACCCGTGATCGACTGCTCGTCCGCGGTGGTGGCGACCCCCTTGCAGCGCAACCCGCTAGCCTCCAGCTCGCGCTCGACAAATGCAATGCCGCCCCGCACCTGCTTCCGATCCACACCGACCACCGCCACGCCGTCCACGTAGGTGGCGACCGCTGGGCCGTGGGCGACGCCCTTCACCACATGCTCGTCGCCGATCATGCCCTGCTCGCGGAAGCCAGCCTTCAAGACGCGCGCCAGAAAGACGTGCAGGCAGAAGCACAGGGACCAGTTCCACCCCATAGGGAGCACGACCAAGCGGGAGGCGCACGCTTCCCTTTAGCCATCTCCACGGGCAACGAGGGATTGAGTTTCAACAAATCAGACACGGGGGCGCCGGGCAGAACCATGAGCTCGGCCAGCCCGACGGGGGCCCCCATGCGGTTGAAGGCCAAGCCGCCTCGATGTCCACCTGCTCGGCCACCAACTCGTCGCCCTCTCGGGCGCGCAGCCCGCTCCACGCTCCAGCCGTCGGCGGCCCCACCGTGGCGGGATCGTGAAAGTAAGCATTGACATACATCGCATCCAGAACCAGTCTGCGTCCCCCATCGGACTTTGCGACGAAAAACGGCGCAATGGTGCAGGAGGCGCCCTCTCCGAAGTTGATCACACCCGCCTGGAGGATTCGACTCAGAAACCCACAGTAAGTCAACATGTCTCGACGTAGGACCTCGTCAAAGTGGGGACGAATTGCCGAGGAATGATCCTCCTTCGGGCGCAAGAGTCTGGCCATCCAGTCACGCCACAAGTCGCTCGCCTCCCCGACCAGGTGCTCGCCAGGCTTGCACTTGACGTTATCCAGCGGGAGGGCGATCGAGTCAACGGCGAACGCGGCTGGCTTCACAGGCTCATCGAGGTAGCCTGGGGTGGCGCGGCGCAACTCACGCAGAGCTGCGGCCGAGCTGACAGGCGGCGGGCCCAGCGACGCCAGGCGCCGCCTCAAGTCCAGAACGCCCGCCCACTGAGAGAGAGAGAGAGAGAGAGAGAGAGAGAGAGAGAGAGAGAGAGAGAGAGAGAGAGAGAGAGAGAGAGAGAGAGAGAGAGAGAGAGAGAGAGGGGGGTTGAAGTCGGGGCTGCCCTCCTTGCCGTAGAGCCAGTTGACCGCCGCCAGGCACTCCGACGTCCACGAATTGACGAATGCATCCTGTACAGCCCGTCGTCTGCGGCCGCGCCTCGGAGCCGTGAGAGCATCCAGCCTCGGTGACTGTAAGGTCGCGGACGCTGCGCGCAGCGGCACGGGCAAGAAATCCCGCCGCGCGACCATGGGAACAGGAAGAGCCCCATTCGCCGCCAGGCGGGCGGACGGGCCCCTCACCCTTCGAGCCGACCTTGCCAGGGGTGGCCATCTGAGCCTTCAACTTCGTGGTCTCTGAACGCTGCTGATCGACCAGGCTCTGCAAAGCCGCATGGCCGCCCTTCCCGCCCCTGCTGTTTGCCGACGCTTGATGCTCGGAACGCTCCTCACGCATCTTCCGCCTCTCCTTCAGGATAGCGGCCACCGTCCTCAACTTCTCCGAAACGTAAGACAGAAGGGAGGGTGCGACCATGACCAGGCCGCGCGTCTCCCCGGCGCAAAGGTAGAGGTGGGCATCCTCGAGCAACTCGTCGCCCTGGGCGGCCCCGATCGCTCGCTCCCGATGCCGATATTCACACATCTGCAAGTGCCGAGACACCAGCTCCACACACACGCCAACTCTATGATATTTAATTGATCATACACGACAGCCAGCTGCAAGAACCGACAACAAAACTCATGACCTATCACGGACTGGCCCCCCGCCGTCAAGCCGACCTCGGAACGCCACTTGGCGCGTCGGTTCCGCGGGGAAACATCGCGATCTCGAATGCATCTCGCAACCCACAACGTAGCCCTCGGGCCTGAGGTGGGGAACTTTGGCCACTCCGTCTCTGGAAACTCGCTGACCGCGCCCCTCCAGTTAAGGCGCCTGCCCTCCTCCACCGCCTCACGGACACCCAACACTCTCGCGTCCAGGGAGCCGCCCTTGGGCGCCTGGGTGGAGTAGATCACCGCGTAACCGCGGTACAGGGCGAGGCCGATCCCCGAGATAGTGAAAGACAGCATCGTACTCAAAACCGTGATCTTGCAGAGGTACTTGTTACTCGTAGCGCCGAAGGCGCGCCAGTGATCGGGAGTGGGGTCAGGAAGGCCTTCCCCACATGAACATCAGGTGGCAACTCAAGAGCTTTGAGCTGAGATGACGTCTCCTTCTGGTCGGACTTCTTCGGCGATGGAATCTGGACTGGTGCCCCTGCCCCCTCGGCCTCTGGCT